ATTGGTAAAAACTTTCTCGAATTTTTAAAAAAATAATAAAAAAGAAGAATAAACATTGTTATGTAATAGTCAAGGATGTGTTTAGTAACCCAAAATATTTTTTGTATTTTGTTGTCAATCCTTAACAAGGAGAAGCAAATACAAAAATCATGTTTAGTAATTTGTTTTTGTTTCCTCTTAATGAAAAACATTTCTCATTTTTATGGAAAAAAAAAAGAGAACACATCAAAATGATGTTTCATGTGTTTTTTCACTGTAGCTGAGGAGACGTTTTTACCACTATTTCTCTCGTTTTTGACGCAACAACTGACATACTTCCATTAATACACAACCACTGATATTACTCCATTAGTATTTTATATTCTATATATATCTACATTATACAAAATCTATTTTTATATTCTATATATATACATTATACAATTGTACGCCCTGTATTTTTTTATTTATTTTTTCCCTTTTTTGATTGTTGTACATGTATTGGTTGTGGTTTGTTTTCAGATTTTTTGTTAATATATATCTATATATAAAATCTATTTTTATATTCTATATATATACATTATACAATTGTACGTTTATCTTACTCTATATATATATATATATTTAGATTATATCTTTTATTGTGATTGAAAGTTAGATTTTGATAGATGGATGAAAAAATAAATTAAAAAAATTTCCAAAAAAAAATAAATTTAACAAATGTTTTACTAAACACTGCTTTTTATTTTTTATTATTAAAATTGTGACAATTGCAAAAGTTACTAAATGTTATTTTTGCTTTCTGTTTTTATTTCGAAAAAAAAAAATTATGTTTCTGTTTCTTTACAATTGCAAAAATAAAAAACGAAAACGTTACTGAACGCACCCTAATAAAATATCATTAACCTTTTTAAACAATTTAATTTTGATCAGAGAAGAAAAAAAAAAATTATCTTGCGGATTTGTTATCCGAGTAATAAAAATCCGACCTTAAGTAAGTGCGAATCCCCTTGTTCCTAAATCCCATTAACTCCCAACTCATTAAAATAAAATTTGTGAAATAATAATAGATATCTCTTGTTTGAAATTTAAGGATCAAAAGTGTGAAAACATGTAATCAATTTTATTGATATAAAAGTGACTACAAATTTTCTATTATTTACATAATTAAAAAAAATATGTCATTCAATCCAATCACCTGGTAAGATACTTAGAGTTGAAAATAAACATAGATCCAGAAATTCCCGATTATGTCAACCTTTCAAATTGTTGCGGTTGCTGCAAGAGGAAAAGAAAACAAAAGCAATTCTTGTAGTAGCAGCAAGTGGCCGTTCATATTAATAGTAGAACTCATGCCTTATCAAGCATGTTATCCCATTTTAAAATTGGATTATTCTGCAGCAGCAAGTGCTTCACAAGTCTGGATATAAGGTTGCATGAATTGGGTTGTTGAATTTATTTTATTTTTTATTTTTCAAATATTATGAACTAAAAATGTCAAATATTCAATTCAAGGATAATGAGCGAAAAGGGACTCATTGGAGGCATAGATGCAAATTTAAAATAGACATGCTTTAAGGAGTTGATAGAAAGCCGAACCTTCATCCTTGACATACATCTTAAGAAAGGAAAATTAGAAAGCACACACCAGAAAATATATATGTGTGTGTGTATGTGTGTATTGTGTGTGTGTGTGTGATGCATTGCAACTGAGCCAATAACGCCCACTAAACCATGCCCGCCAGTTTATTACCAATCTGAAAAGCAGCAAAAGCTTCACTGATTGCATACTTGACCTCTTTATGTGAGAATTCGAACTCCTACCGGTGTATTTACCAATGTCGATCCCAACCTTTGCTTCACTGATTGCATACTTGACACAGCACCTTTGTAACTCATACATACAGGACCACATAACTTTTGGGCATTTTATTTGTTACAGAACATGTATCTATGCATGTACGTGGTCAAGTATATACATATTCCACAGTTAATATGTTCATTCCCCAATAGTAAATTTTGTTCTCGTACATTAATAAACAAAACAATTATACATGTCTCTCTATGTACCCCACATACAAATTACTACACGATCACACAGAAATATGAAAAGTCAAGTTTACTCCTGTTCCAACTTCCAAGTTGGAACAGCAAAAAAAACACAGTTATGGTGAAGGTAGCGATGTGTTTGTCTTCGTGACAGCTTCTTCTTGCTTGTCATAATACATCAATTTATAATGGGTAATACTAAGTGGATCTCCACTTGCTTGGCCTTCGTCCGGTGCTTAGAGTCGGGGACGTGATCCCTTTAAAATTCCTTCATTTCACTATGGCTTAGTGTGGCGTAGCATGTTAAGCATTTAATGTATGCATTAAATATATTCGACTGGGCAAATAATGGCGGTGGTTGGCACATTAAAGGCTTTGGGCAGAGAAATAATGGTGATTGTAGGGACCTCAGTCACAGTGCATGTTTACCATCCCTTTGGTCAGTCCTATTACCGTCAGGGCGAAGCCAGAAATATAAAATTTGGAGGGGGCTAAATTATTAATATAAAATTAAATTTTTTTTAATAAACAAATTTTTTTAGTGCATTTTAGATTTCTTTTTTTTTTTTTTTTTTCGTTAACATGTCTATAAATGATATGTAAAGAAAAAATAGAGAGAAAAACATATGACAATCGATAAATGAGTTGTCAAATTAAATTTTTTTTTTATATATTTTTAATTCATAATAATAAACCTATGAAGGAAATGAATAGAGTACTAATATGTTATATCAAGATTGCAATAATAACCTTCCCAAAAAAAGAAAAAGAAAAAGAAAAAAAGATTTGTTAGACTTTTAATACAAGCAATTTCTTTTGCAAACCATCTTTAATAATCATAAATAAGAAACAAAAATAAGTATTTTTTGAAAATTTGGGGAACCAATTTTAATTTTTCTATAGTAAATTACTATTAATAATTATAAATATACACTATTAATAGAAGCTACAGAAAATTTTGAGGGAGTCAATTTAAAATTTTCCATACTAAATTACCTTTAATAAGTATAAAAATACACCACTCATAGAAGTAACAGACTTTTTGGGTTGGGGGGGAATAAAAATACACCACCACTAATAGAAGTAACAGATTTTTTTTGGGGGGGGGTAGTCGCAGGTCTATGAGAAGGTCATACCCTTATCACGGTGGCATACCTGGGGACCTCAAGTCGAGTGACCTACGTCAAGGTTTTCTTTGGACAGAGAGTTTTATTTTCGAAGTTTCAGTCATTCAAGGGTTTTGGCATTGAAGTGATCGACTTTTCCGTCCAGATATCATAATAACTCGAATCAAAAATAAAAATGGATAGTTTATAGTTTTAATTTTCTTTTTAAAACTAGGAGTCTAAACTGGGTCGGGTTTGGTTCTCAGTTCAACCCTACTGCAACCATATCATTCCAGTGGAATAAAATTGGTCCGTTTGGATCTTCTCAAGTGTCTAGGAGCAGTCGCAGGTATATGAGAAGGTCATACCCTTATCACGTGCCATACCTGGTGACCTCAACTCGAGTGACCTACGTCAAGGTTTTCTTTGGACTTAAGAGTTTTATTTTCGAAGTTTCAGTCATTCAAGGGTTTTGGCATTGAAGTGATCGACTTTTCCGTCCAGATATCATAATAACTCGAATCAAAAATAAAAATGGATAGTTTATAGTTTTAATTTTCTTTTTAAAACTAGGAGTCTAAACTGGGTCGGGTTTGGTTCTCAGTTCAACCCTACTGCAACCATATCATTCCAGTGGAATAAAATTGGTCCGTTTGGATCTTCCTAGTCACAGTGCAGCTCATACTCTCTACAATGAGTTGGCAATTTTGAACTGGTCAAACTGTCATGGTTAGTCAAATGCTATTTAGGAGATTGTGAGTCCTAGACTTTTTGACTTACCAATCAATAAAATTGATCAATTGAGTGGTAATTAAATCACCATAAATTTAATGTCTACACCCAAAAGAAAAGGATTTGAATCCATCCAACTCTTTTCGAAGTGCTAATGTTGTACGCATCTCCAATTTCTCCATCCACAAAGATGCATTCCAAACCAATTGTATCAATCACAAAAAAATAAAAATAAAAAGGTTTCATTCTGACCTGTGAGGCACAAAATTCAAGATCTAATCAAATGTCCAAACCCTATCTCGATCATCAAGTTATGATTGATTTCAACCTCAACCTTGAACCCCTTTACATCAACACACCAAATAGCATACAACCTGAAATGCCCAAAAAAGTTCTTGCAACTCTGTTCACAAATTCTACAACACCAACCAGACCTGTAGGCTGTAGCAACCTTACCAGGATCCTAGCATGTGGCAATTGGCATCACTCCTAGTGCCCAATTAGGACACCTGCAGCACAATACAAATACGAACCCGCGATCGTGAAGACTCGCTTACCTGCTACTACAGGCCATCACAGGACCTCATCTGCAAGTGTCTTATGACCCAACTTCAATAAATTATAAAATCCCAAACCCAGGCCTCAACAAATTGTAGGCCTTTTGAATTCTCTCCATCAGAAAAACGATGTTTTGGCGAATTGTTTCAGATTTATTGCAGCTATAATATTCATTACTGAAACATATATGCACTTGCACCCATAAAAAATGATATACATAAGGAGGTAAAAGAGTAAAAAGGAACCTAAAATTACAACTGATCTACTAAAACTCAAAAAACTACTATGAAATTATTAGAGAGGAAAAGTAAGTTAAAGATTAACTAACCCTTCTGTTGCTTGTTATGACCATTGAACTAGGAAGATTAAAAGTAGGGTCTTCCGTTGATTTACTAGCATCTAGTAGTTCACTTTGGAAGGTCTTTTTTTTTACTTTGTTGAAAATAGCATTACTCAGTTTCTTGTTTAGATGAAAATAGCCAAAAGATAGGACTAAAGTCTTTTTCTATGAATGTGAAAATATAAGAACAATGGATCTGATTTGCCCAACAGTCAACATATGGCATCAGTTCAAGATGAGAATAAATTAGGGGCCTTTTATTTAATAAATAGTCCTAAAATGCGCTCCATACAGAGGGTTTTCTGGCTATCTTTCAATATTCCAACTGCAAATAATTCAATTTAAAACAGGTCGGCCAACTTAAGCTTTTGAGGCTCTACCTGCAAACAGAAGTTTTCAGGACAACTTGAGCATTATAAATTGGAACACAGATGTCCACCAGACTGATTCATAAACCACAAACAATCTTTAAGGTAAAATTTATCTATGATGGATGGATTGGCAAGAGAGCCTAAACCAAACCAAAATATCTCTAGATTATGAAAAAAACCAAAAAAAAAAAAAAGATACAGCACAAAATTGGAGTTACCTAGGATCTCGCAACATAGATACTTCACTCTTCTTCATCAATGATTTTGGTGCCCAACCCCTTCAGTCCCTCCGCTGGTATCTCAGCAACAGTGACTAGTGAGTAAAGCTCCTCCTTAGCATCTTCTTCGTCATTTCTCTTTCGTGCAATGCGGACACGAATTCTTCTAGGCACACTCCGAATTCCACGACTCCATATGTGCTTGTTCAGCTTCACATCAACTCTAACATCAGTTGTCCCCATAGCCTTTTTGGCAAATTTCCTAATCTCCTTTATGGCGTTTGGAGCCTTCTTCTTGAATGTGCTGCACATTTGAATTTAAAAACCACCAAGTATATAAGGAAATAGCGAGCAACTTGACAGACGATTGAATAACAAACTAAAGGTCCAAAGCATACAAAGTCGTCTCCGGATTTCATGTTAAAATACATTGTCCTCCATTATTTAATGAGAAAACTGGTTCGTGGCAACACTATGTCAACTATAATTTACATTTGCCTAAAATTTTCTACGCACAAAATATGCCATGTACTTGGGGCTCGAACTGGAGTAGAATTCAGTTCCAGATCCATATCTGGATTGGAATCAGGATCAAAATCGGATCCTATGAACATGATCCATATCTGCCCCATATAATTTAACCAAATTCCAAATGGAGTGGAATATACTTGGATCCGGACCGGATCTTGAGTAAAATTTGATCGAATTAAGAATTATCTAGATCCATATTTGACCCAAATTCGTGACAAATCTTTCAACGAAGATACATATCCAAACCGTTTTTTAATTCGGATTCATAATTAAGATCCAATCACAACAAAATATCCTTCATCCAGGTACTGTCCGGACAGGCCTCAGGTAAAAGTGTCAAACAAAATTCATTTCAAGCCCTCCACACACAACCAATAACTTTATCTTGTACGGTATCCTTTTTAAGATCATAATGTATCAAATATAAAGACAAATCCTAGCAATAAATTGCCCACACAATAAATGAATAATAAAGCCCAAAATAAGTACAATATAATTATGACACGCTTTAGCATGAGTTGCACATGCCTCATCATTACTTTTGGAGAAGAGAAAAAAAGAAATAAAATTTGGGATTTTAAAAAATTACGGTTTTTTATGCTTATTGTTATTTTTGGTAATGTTTGGATTTTAAGGTTATTTTGGTAGTATTTTTTAGTTTTAGGTTCTGCTTAATTATTTGCCTACATAAATTAAACACACAATTCAGCTTTTGATTATTGAATAATATTGTGAGTCTGAGAACTCTCTTGTCTTGTTTTTCTCAATCGTTCCTGTCCAGCCTACATATCCACTATAATTTATCACCCCCTTCGTTTTTTGTTGAACATGGACGTTATAAAAAAATATGGAGAATGCGCAAGGAGCAAGCATGGACAGGTGTCCATTACTCACCCAGAAATATATATATATTAAACCACAGGGTTTTCACAATTTCATTTAATACTTATAGTTAGGGTTTCTTTTCGCCCCCCTACATATCCACTCTAAATTATCACCCCCTTCGTTTTTTGTTGAACATAGATGTTATAAAATATATGGAGAATGTGTAAGGAGCAAGCATGGACAGGTGTCCATTAGACACCCAAAAAAAAAAAAATATATATATATATATATATATATATAACATAAGGTTTTCACAATTTCATTAAACACTTATAGTTAAGGTTTCTTTCTCCCATAGTCCCATGTTCGTTTGGTCTCTCCTATTCAATTCAAATGAAGGTATGTACCGTTCGATTCGGAAGATGGTCTTAGGGTTCGATTCGCATGATGTGTTCGATTCAGGTGATGGTCCTTAAGGTTGGATCTTGATGATGGTCTGGAGGATTCCATTCAGATGACGGTCTTAAGAGTTTTGTGTACATTTTTTTTGGGTAAAAATTCATAAATCTACTATATTCAACATTTATCAACCAAAAGAACGAAGAGAGAGATGATATGCGTTTTTTGTTGTTGCAAATAATAACTTAAATGAGTATAATTTTTCGATATTTCATAAATATGTGTTAAGAGTTTCAAATCCCGTCAATTCTCCTGCCTTTAATGGGATTTGAAACGGCTAAATTTTGTTATTTGTATTTCCTAAATTTCAAATCCCGTGTACAATTCCGCCAACCAAAAAAATTGAATTTGGAATCAGGATTACTAAGGATTGTTCTGCAAACCAAAAACTTTAGTGGGATTTGGATTTCGAAACGAGATTCCTATGAATTTTGGAATGACAAAATTATAAGCGAAATTGAAATTCAGGAGATTTCAAATAACAAAATTTAGATGATTCAAATCCTATCAAAATAATGTAGAATTTGATAAGATTTGAAACTCTAGTAACACATAGTTATGGATTTTCCGTATATACCCTTATCTAACATCTTTTTACGTACACACTACACTCTCTATATAACATTACTATTATTCTAAAAGTTAACTATTTTTGTTTCTTTTGGCTCTCTATCCTATCAGCTTCCAACTCTTAACTATTTAGCTGAAAACGCATGTCACATCTCTCTCTTCGTTTCTTTTGCTTCTCTTCCAACTCATTTGAGCTATATTGCATTTTCTGCCACATTGGACCCACGTCACCAAATGACTCCTTGGGCAGGTCGTACTTAAAGACTTTGTGTGTAATCCCTCCTACCCAAACAAATTTTCTATTTATTATTTAACAAAGGCAAAGATGGCATAATATTGTCTTCATTCCGAATCCAATTTTGCATCCAAAATAAAAAAAGGAATTCATTTCCTTTCAAATCCAATTTGTTCCAAATATCCAAATGGAATTCATTCCGAATGAATTTCCAAACTCCCACCCCTCCAGGGGATCTCACTTCACTAGACTTCCAGTCGCTTCCTCAAATTCGAAGGCAGCAATCCTCCTCAATAATCTATTCCTCTTTACTCCAAATCTCTAAAGCCACTTGCCCAACAATGACTTGTTGGACAACTATAGTCTCCTCATCCCCAAAACCCCTCAACTAACTGAGACTCCACACCTCCTCCTATTTCACCAAATGGAACTTAAATTTCTCCTCCAAACCACCCTGCAGAAAGTTCCATTGTCGCTAATATATCCGCCTGAATTGAAACTTAATAATGTCTTAATTATCATAAGCTGCCTTATGGATTTAGAAGACGATTGGATTCAATCTACGGTTACAGAAGCAAGAGGTGAATTTGGACAAAGAAAATATGAGCAATTTACATTGATATACTAAAAAACAAGAAATGAGAAATTTAGAGAGGAAAATGTGAGGAAAAAATTAGGAGTCCAAAAAAGAAGAAAAATGGATGTAATTAATAGAAGAAATGAGAGGCATTAAAGAGAGAACAAGGCCTTTCATTCACACTCTTAATTTCATAAGGAAGTTTAGAACCCACTAAGTGTCATCATCGACATGTGACACAACACTATCTCCACCATGATAGAACCACATCATAAACCCTAAAGTCTTCCAATATACACCACCACTAATCCCATTATCTTCAGCACTCTCCATCATTGTTTATGTTATGAAATAAGAATCGAATAGGAGTTTATGAGAACAAAGAGAAAATTAAATGACAACAAAAATAAATAGCACACATAAACGAGACAAGGATTTACGTGGTTTGGCTATGCCTATGTCTACGGGGAAAAGACAGAACAATATTTATTATGGAAATAAAGAGATATAAGGCAAAGTGGCTCACACCCAAAACCCAATTACACCCAAAATCTCTCACTCACTAACTGATATTACAAACTCACTATGAATTGATGATTTTGGATGCCAAACCACCATGGAGTGCAGGCTATTTATAGCCAAGAAATCACCAACTTGAGCTTACTGGACACTCATGTATTCTTGCTGATCACACACACATATAACTGGCAGAGAAAAAACTTCTTGATCACGCCTACAAACTTGTTGATCACACTCCTTGGCTGCCAAGAAAACTGATGCAAGGGTGATGAAAAACACTTTGCCTTGTATCTCTTTATTTCCATAATAAATATTGTTCTATCTTTTCCCCGTGGACGTAGGCATAGCCGAACCACGTAAATCCTTATCTCATTTGTGTGTGTGCTATTTATTTTTCTTGTCATTTAACTTTCTCTTTATTCTCATAAACTCCTATTCGATCCTTATTTCATAACAAACTGGTATTAGAGCTCGGGTTCGTGTCCTGTGTACAGATACTATTCACACGTACGGTACTGTTCATATATACTATTCTGGTGTAATGTTCACAAAGACGGTATTATTTACCGAGAAATATTTTGGGGAGTTTTTTTAGATGTCGACTAGATACGAGATTGAGAAATTTGATGGCAAGATTAGCTTCAATCTTTGGCGCATTAAGATGCAGGCCCTGCTAACTCAGCAAGGTCTAAAGAAGGTGTTGTTCGGGAAGGATAAGTTGCCAATAGCTATGTCTGATGAGGACAAGGATGAGGTCGAGGAAAAGGCGCACAGCGCGATTATTTTGAATCTAGCTGATGAGGTGCTTCGTGAAGTTATTGATGAAAACACGGCGGCAAAGTTATGGCTGAAATTGGAGAGGCTGTATATGACGAAGTCTCTCACCAACAGACTCTACTTGAAACAGAGACTCTACGCCCTTCGTATGAAGGAAGGTATGCCTCTTAAGAAGCATATTGATAATTTCAATTCTATTATTTTGGATTAGAAAAATACTGATACTAAAATTGATGACGAAGATCAAGCCCTTATTTTGTTGTGTTCTTTGCCTCCTTCCTGTGAGCATTTTGTTACCACATTGCTCTATGGAAAAGACACTATTAGTATGGAGGATATTAAATCCTCATTGAACTCTCAGGAGTTAAGGAAAAAGGTGTCTGGGAATATTGGAGATGAACAGGCCGAGGATCTATTTGTAAGAGACAAAAGTGAGACAAAGAGTTCTGGTAGTAGGGGCAAATCTAGATCTAAAAAAAATGTGGAATGTTACTACTATCACGAGATAGGGCACATCATCAAGTACTGTCCCAAACTAAAGGCAAAGAATGGGAATGGCAAAGAGAAGGTTCAAGAAGCAGCTTATGTGACAACTGCTACAACGAGTGATTCGAAAAGTGACGAATATGTTCTGATGACAACCTTGTGTTCAAGTATGTCATTTAATGACAGTTAGATTCTTGATTCTAGTTGTTCCGTTCATATGTGTCCCAGTAGGGATTCTTTCTCTTCCTATAAAGAGGTGAAAGATGGTTCGATTTTGACTACGGACAGGAAAGCTTTCAAAATTTTGAGAATTGGAATAGTCAAAATCAAGATGCACAATAGGTTGGTGAGAACATTGTCCGACGTGCGACATGTACCGGATCTGAAGATGAATCTTATTTCATTAGGTGTGCTAGACTCCAAAGGTTACAAGGTTGTAACGGAGGGTGGAGCAATGATGATCGTGATGGACTCTCTTGTGGTGCTACAAGGCACCAAAGTGAATAATTTGTATCTTCTCCAAGGGAGTACAGTAACAGATGGAGCTACTACAGGATCTTCTACAGTTCGTAGAAATCTGTATTCGAGTCTTGGCAAAAGAAGAGTTAGAAAGAGGAGTTACAATCCTAGTTCTCAAAAGTGTTGTGAGGGGACTACACAACGCGGTGGGAGAATGAAATCCGTTTTCAGATAGCAACTGAAATTGCAGCAGTCCTTACAGGGAGGCAGACCCATGAGGACAAGTGTGATATTGACTTGCAATAATCTTGGTGGCAATGAAATAGTTCATTCAAGTGCCATTAAGATGTGTGAGAGGCAAGTAGTTGGTCACAATAGAGATGCGAGGAAAAGTCAAGGACGTCATATTCTCCACAAGGGTGAGAAGATGACTTTTCATTACTAGCCGGTGGTCTATGGACAGTTGGAGAAGGTTGCTGAAGGAGATGTCAAATTTGAAATTTTTGAGGGTGTCTTTGATAAGCATTTAGAGTTTGACAGAAATACTGGAGGTATGCTCGTGGTTGCGCAAGACATGCATGGGTTGAAGAATGAGAGCCCGAGGGTTAAGTTTGAGGATGACTCAAGTTTAACTAAAATTCTTAATTAATTTGTTTTGTGGAGAAGACAAGTTGTTTGGCAGAGATACAGTGGCTCATTTAGAATTTTTCGCCAAGGTGGAGATTTGTTAAACTTTGTGGCTCAAAATTGCCAACTCAGCATTGTTTTGCATCACCCTTGCATTAGCTTTCTTGGCAGCCAAGGAGTGTGATCAACAAGTTTGTAGGCGTGATCAAAAAGCCTTTTCTCTATCAGCTATATGTATGTGTGATCAGCAAGAATACATGAGTGTCCAGCAAGCTCAAGTTGGTGATTTTGAGCCACAAAGTTTAACAGTATATCATTGTCCCACTTTTCGTATCACACACATACATGATCACTGGAGCATATAGCCACCATCACAACCAACAACTCCAACCCATCATATTCCCTTCTATAAAGTTCACAAGACCAATTCATAAGAAAATATTAAAATCACCCCATAACCATCATCTCTTGGATTGACCTATGTTGATCGCAATAACATCTAATAGGGGCTCATATGGCATATAGTGAATTTATGAATTTTTAGCCAATAAAAAAAGTACGCAGAACCCTCAAGACCATCATTTGAATTGAACCCTCTGGACCATCTTTTGAATGGAACCCAGTCAAGACCATCACGCGAATCAAACCCTACTCAAGACCATCACGCGAATCGAACCCTACTTGAGACCTCCTTTTAAATCGAACCCTACACATCTTCTCAACGGTAGAGAGACCAAACAAACGAGGGCGAAACGAAACCCTAACTATAAGTGTGTAATGAAATTGTAAAAACCCTTTGGGTAAGTAATGGTCACTTGTGAATGCGCACACCTTACGCATTCTCTATATTTTTATAACGTACATGTTCAATAGTAAAAAATAGCTTTCGTGTTGATACTGAATAATAACTTGAAGGAGTACAATTTTTAGATATAGAGATCAAAATTAATTTAGGTAAGGGTATACACACAAAAATCATAAATATGTGTTATGAGTTTCAAATACCGTCAATTCTATCGATTTTAAAGGGATTTGTAATGACTGAATTTTTTTATTTACATTTCCTAAATTTCGAATCCTAAGAAATTGGGAGTCTGTTTGGCTGAGCTTTTTGATGGCTTGAAATAGGCTTCCAAGCCTATGAAGCTCTTTTCAAAAAAATATGAGTGTTTGGTTAACTACGATAAAAGGAATTCCAACAAACGTCAAAATCCTAAAAAGTCTGTTTAAGTAAAACTCGAAAAACTTGCTTTTGGAACTTATTTCTAGGAAAGTCTGGCTAATTTTAAGTAACAATTTTTAATTACAATTTTATCCTTATTTTAAAAGGAAAGAACACAAGATGTGGAGGATTTGCAGAAAAAATTTCCTATTGATTTCCATTTAATCTAGGATGTGGAGGATTTGCAAAATAATATTCCGATTGATTTCAAAGACTAAGGAGCAAAAGAATTATAAAGATATTTGAACTCTCATCCAAAACACTTCCAACTCTGTATAGAATTCTGAACAACCTTTCTAATTCTCAATATATATATATATATATATATAATAGATTAAAACCTCTCTTTTGTTTTACATACCAAGTTAGGGTTTTAATATAACTATAAATAATAATGAAATTGAGTCTGAATAATAATGCTAAACTGCTACAATTTCTCTCACCGTTTTATTTTTTTTCCCTTCAACTTCTATCGATATGTATACATTGATCTTCACTTTGTCAGTAATGGTGATTTTCACTTTGTCAGCAATGTATCTACAATAAAAGTATGAACAACATTGATGTGCCAATTAATTATTGCTCCATCATCTCTGATTTTCACTCCATTACTCCAATTATCTTTTTTCATTTTTTTTTTCCTTGCTAAATCCCGATTAATTCAACTAAGCTATCACATTTGTACTATTCATGATAATTAAGGATAAAATTGTCAAATTAAATTGTGTTTAGTCAAAAGAATTTTTAAAATAATACATCCACCAAACAACTTTTTTTCTTTAAATTCCTTCCATTAAAATGGATTTTGCAAAGCCCATTAAGTGGAAGGAATTTGAAGATCAAGAAGCTCTCCCAAACAAAGCCTGGATTCCTAAGAATTGTGGAATGACTTATAATACTGTCAACCAAAAACTTTGGTGGGATTTGGATTTGGAATCGGGATTCCTATGAGTTGTGGAATGACAAAATTATAAACATAATTGAAATTCAGGAGATTTCAAATAACAAAATATAGTTTATTCAAATCCCATCAAAATAGTTTAGAATTTGTTGAGATTTGAAAATGTGGCAGTACATATTTATCACTTTTCCGTATATACCCTTATTTAAGGTCTTTCTACGTACTCTCTATATAACATTTCTTGGATTGATCTATGTCGATCACAATGACATCTAATAAAGAATTATTATTTTTTAAACCAAACACATCACATTAAGGAGCCTAAATGACCATAAAAAAACACCTGTTAGATCATATCTAAGGAAACAGAGACTTGTTAGACAATTATTCATCTTGGACACTCAATGCCATCCATTTAAGAATGACATACTATACAATTTAGGAAAAGATAGACATTAGATAGAAGAAATAAGAGGGAGGAGGTAGATTTTAACTTCAATTTTTGTTTTTGTTTTTTCTCTTTTTTTGTAGGTGGGGGTTGTTATGTGACACACTTAATGGGAATTAATCTCATTATAGTACAGTTGAATCTGGAACAAATGTCATCATTTGCAGCCAAAAATTAACTTAAACAAGCAAATAAGTAGTAAAAAAGCTGATTGTACTTTGTAGGGGATTATGTGACCCAAAAAACATTTAAATGGAAAATAATCTTGGAGAAGTGGTATGAAATTGTTTGCAAAAAGTTGCATCTTGAATAAGAACATAAATACTGGGGAAAGCCATTATCAGATGTTTCCTAAACAAAACGAAGCTACTTCAAGAGGATAATCAATTCACTCCCCTAAATACAACGTTGCAACTAGAAAACTTTTAGTATTTACAGATTTCGAAGCAGCAATTTAGGTGTAATTTATTTGTTCCCAAAGTTAACCGAAGATACATGGTAAATTCAGCTTAAACTTCCTGGTGAAATATCAAAACATTAAATGAAAACTCGATTAAAAAATCCAAGAACAAACAGATCATTAGTAGAAAAATGAAAATTACACAGTTAGTTTTTTTAATCGGAACTTGAAATGACTAGAGCAATTTAGTGGACTATATTCACAAAAAGTTTGCTCTCCTTCATCACAATAAAATGATAAATGAATAAATACTGATCTCCACAATCACAGAGTGATCGATCAAAATTTATAAAATAAATTGATAACATCTATAGATTCTATACAATGTAAATACATAGGAAATAATGATATATATATATACACAATAATGTGTATACATATATAACACACACATATATATATATTAAGAATGAGGATATATGTATAGAGAGAGTACCATCCATGCAAGCGTTTATGGAGGTTGATGGTGTACTCCCTGGTGACGACTTCCTCCTTTCTTCCTCTGTTTGCTTTGTCCGCCATTTTTGCAGCTTTCTAAACCCTAGAACCACACTATGCTGCTCCTACCCCACGCTGATATGAAACCCTAGATCTCAAAAGAGATGGCTTATATATTTGTTGGCTTTCATCGTGAAATACCCGAATACACCTCGAAACTTGCGGAAACCCCCTTACCTTACCACTGCAATGGGTCGGATCTCCGGGAGTTTTGTGGGTCTTAATCATGTTTATTTTAAGAAATAATTTGGTTCTTTGTTTAAAACATATATATAATAATAATAAATAAGTAAATAAAATAAGAAAAAATGTAATTGTGTTTGTGTTATATTTTTGTGGATCCGTTTTAACTAATCGTGTCATGTTTGTATTGTGGAGCTCTGTTTAATCAATTGGATCCATTTAATTAGTCTTATGATAATTGTGTTAGACCAATTTGATTAATCTTTATCCTATTTTGACCTAATTATTATGGGCATTCTCTTATTTTCATATAAATTCAATATGTGTATGGTATTTAGATATTTTTTTGTAATTGTACTATCCAAAAGATTCTCATGAAATTTTTTTTTTTTTTCAATTATCTCAATTTTTCATTGTATTTTTATATTTTAATTATATTTAAGGAATGGTAATTTATTTAAATTTAAAAATTTAACTGTGTAACTCATTTAACAAATGAGTCATGTTCGTGTTGAGGGTCCTCGATACCATTATTTAACCAGTCGTATCTTAGTTGATCTATTTAGCATAGTAGAACTATATTTATATGTTCACCAAGAGAGAGAAAACTAAAAATACAATAAAGTGCAATGAGTGGTACACTTGCCTTTTGATCCAAAAATTTAAATTTTTATCCGAGCTTGCAACGTCCTCGTTGCGATCAAACTGTACTACTTACTCAACCTACTTGGGCACCTCCGAGTAAGTTTGCTTAAAAGGACACTTGCTGTAACACTAGATGAAGGACTATGACTTTGATACCAACTATAATGGTTCAAACGTTTGCTTTCAGACAAAAAAACACTTGAGTTGTTGTGTAATGCTGAATACGCGCTCATATATACCTAATTTCTTTTCCATACGGATCTGATGTCCGACAAAAACCCCCTTTAACATACCGACAAGTTTAAGAAAAATATATATATTTTTATTCCGATATTAAGCCTATTCATCCCAAACATTTGACTAACAAATTATACACTCTAAAATACAAGTCTTGTATAATACAAACATATAATCATCTTGAAAACTATACAAATACCTGTTCATCGTTGAAAACTGAAATTTATGGGAATTTTATATATCTTATATTATGCCCTACACCTGTATTTGGCATCGGATTAATTATATGCTGGGTAATGGGTATATAGTTTTATTACTTTATTTTGCATGCTCTTCTCACCAATAGACTTGGCATTTGGTAAATTATATTTTCAAAGTGAAGGCTAGACCTTGTGATAATAGGAACTCCATAGAAGTGAATAAAGAACACTTAAATTTTTACCCGAGCTTGCAACGTTCTCGTTGCGATCAAACCGCACTACTTACTCAACTTATTTGGGCACCTCCGAGTAAGTTTGCTTAAACGGACACTTACTGTAACACTAGATGAAGGACTATGACTTTGATACCAATTATAATGGTTCAAACGTTTGCTTTCAGACAAAAAAACACTTGAGTTGTTGTGTAATGCTGAATACGCGCCCATATATACCTAATTTCTTTTCCATGCAGATCTGATGTCCGACAAAAATCCCCTTTAACATACCGACACGTTTAAGAAAAATATATATATATTTTTTTCCGATATTAAGCCTATTCATCCCAAACATTTGACTAACAAATTATACACTCTAAAATACAAGTCTTATATAATACAAACATATATTATGCCCTACACCTGTCTTTGGCATTGGATTAATTACTGGGCATTTGGTAAATTATAGTTTTATTACTTTACTCTGCTCTTCTCACCAATATACTTGGCATTTGGTAAATTATATTTTCAAAGTGAAGGCTAGACCTTATGATAATAGGAACTCCATAGAAGTGTATAAAGAACACGAAATCGAATTACATAGTAAATGCGAGATCATGGTATAGATCTGTGATTACTTATTGAGAAATTCTCTTTTATTTCCAAAGAAAAAAAAAATTGAAAATATAGTCAGAATTTGTCATATTGTAAACATTTCTAACAATGGCCATCATCAGTTACAGTCAGAGATGTGTCAGAGATGTTCTCTTTAGCCACTTGTGGCAAGTGGGCAGCAAATATGAATCAAAATCTTATGTTTGGGATTGGGAGTATCGGAAAATTGGAATTGAAATTTAGTTAAAACTTTAAACAAAATTTGTTTCAATTTCAAATTTAAACGGCGGAATTGTTGCTCCCAAACACAGCATGAGTACTTTTCGTGCAGTATATGAATTTCACCAGTTCCACTATTGTAAGGATGAAAATTCACCCATTTGTATTTGCTTATTTGTGAAATTTATGAACGAGAAATTGTTACTGAAGAGGGTTTAGGTCCAACCACATGGTGACAGTGAGTGGAAGACAAATTCATTACTGCAATAGTACTGGATCAAACATTCTTGTACATGAATAGAAAAGATGCCGGAAAGTTCTGTCTCCATGTTGTTCAAATGCAAGTGGGAAAAAAAAAATTGTAACTGTCAAGAATCCATTTTAAAAAATTAAATTTTTTTACTTATAATATTTCTCAAAAATTGGGTGAATTTAGACAGTAAATATATGTTCGTCTCCACCATCCTTTATTTGGAGTTTGTAGGCGATGGCCCTGCTATGCAAAAATACAGAACTTGCAATGAATCAATCTCATTCAAAAAATGCAGAACTTGCAGTGAATCAATCCCATTCCGAAGTGTAACATAATATATTACATGGTGATAATTATGGCTTCCTTTATCGAGTGAGCAACAAGATTAAACTACAAAGAACAAAAGAATCGAATTGTGTATCATAAACAAGAATATTAAAAATATAAAAGAATTGAAATTGAATTATGTCAACGAGCACTTCAAGTGCTTGCACATTCTGGAGGAAGGCCTTGAGGAAACCTCTTTGTGTCTACGCAGTAATTGTATATCATGTAATTCTTTTGCACCCATTTCAGCCTGCCCTGGCTCGTGGAGTCCAACTCTTCCGTTAGCCACGCACTGCTGCTGCCAGAGGCTGTCGAAGACGGTGAATTTGAACTGCAAGAAGACGCACCAGAAGACCAAGTGCAAGCATTGGCATTGAATTTCCTGTATGAAGCAGTGAAGGGTGCTTGAGTCCAGTCAGTCTTCACCAGCCCACCCCTCGTGGCCCAATCGTCCGCGTTCCATAGGCTAGAGTATATCCTCATTGGCTGGTTCTTTGGGTATGCAACACCAATTGACTCCGAGTTCTTGAACTCTCTAATGGGTGTGCCGTCCACTGAAAATCTGAAATGGAGAGAAAATTCGAGTCAAGGCAATGTTGAAAAGAATTTCAATAAATCCTCTTTTGGGTAATGTATATTTATAAGATTGCCATCTAATTCTCGTATATTGGACTAGTCTTTCTGTATGGAAAAATAATTTGAAGGCGAGAAAGTTAGACAACTCCTGCGGATTTGATGCCAGCAGGAGCTAACATCAGCCCTGCTCACATTAAATCAGTCAGAGTTGTCCAACCGTTGGACTTTCTATCATTACTCTTTTATAATATGTATACGTATAACAAGGGTACTTACATAATCCGTTGCGGATTCCAGAGGATGGAATAGGTGTGGAAATCGGCGGTTGGGTCGAACCAAAGGTAGAATTGTTGCTCTCTGTTGCCCTTGCCTTGGCTGAAAACATTGGTGTGAAGAATGTAAGGATCACCACTCAAGTTCCCCAAGAACTCGAAGTCTATCTCATCATGGGTTGGGCCTTGTGATGACAACTGCAATGAGAAACACACAAAACATGAGTCACAAGAGCTTAATACAAGAAAATTGGGCCAAAAACATATTGAGTTATGAAGGGAGGGAACTTACATAGTAGGCGGTGACAGTGCCAGCAGAGTTTCCGGGGACAAGCTTGAGCTGCATATCAATCTTTCCGAATAAATACTCATTCTTGGACTGGAAGCCAGAGCCAGAGGCCTTGTCAAGAGAGAGGGTAAGAAGCTCGCCGTTGTTGAGTATCTTAGCGCGGCCATCGCCCCAAGTGAGATCAAAGTCTTGGTACAAGTTACCAGCAGAGGCAACTATTAAAGAGCTAAGCATAGCAGATATCAATAACACTGAAGTTGAAGAAGACAAGGCCATTGGTGTTTGATGTGAATGTGAATGAGAGTTGGGAGTGAATGAGTGATGAGCAGAGCGTTTGGTAAGAAAGAAAAAGAAATGTTTGTGGGATGATGAGAATTAGATGTGTGGGGTGGCTATATTTATAGGGAGGTGAGAAATGGGGGAAAGGCAGAGGAGGGTTCTGAACTCATACCAAGTAGTGGGGCTGTGTGCTGGTGAGTTGGTTGGAGGCTTTTGAGCTGGACACAGATATGTGTTGGGCACTTGGGCGGGGGTGGTGGTTTGGCTTAGAGAAAGTGTTTTTGTCATAGCTGTAAAAAGTGCATGCCAAACAAATGACAACCCAGACATTATTTTATTCATAAGACGCGGTTTTAAAAACGCATTATCTAGCAGCCGCGTCTTGAGCTCCACTAGGCGAACCTGGTGTCACGGTGTCACACTGACACTGTTAAATACGTTTAGAGCATCTGTACCGCGTCTAGCCAAAAACCATTTTTGACGATTTGGAGGTCCAAATGCAGTGCAACAGGCTAGCGGAAATGGGCGGAGCCTACATTGACTCGCAGGTTGGCTTGCGGAATACCGCGAGCCCAAGCCTGATCGGGAATTTTTTTTTTTTTTTGCCTTCAGCAAAAGGGCAACATTTTGCGTGATGCCTAAAGACACTGTTTGGCATGATGGTTTTTTTTGGGAAAAACTCAAAATAGGTTATTTTGAGCTCATTTTAAATAAAATAAAATTCATTAAATAAAAAATATATTGTTTAGGCATGTTTGTTCAAAAAAAAAAAATTTATTTGGGTCAAAAATAAAATAAATTTTTTTCTTTTTGTTTTTTTTCCCTAAAATTTGTTTTTTTTTTTTTTTTTTGGCTTTAAATTTTAAATTTCTGCCACAAAAGCACTGTTTGGCCGACACAAATAGTGCCTTTAACAGTTATAATTCTTGTAAAAAAAAAGTTTAAAAAATTCAATTTTATAAAACTTTTTTTAAAAAAATAATTAAAATTAAAAATTCACTTTCTTATTCCCATAGGATTTTGTAATCCTTATTTTCTTATTCCAATTCATTAATTTTCTAATTTAATTTTTCTGGAGAGCAAAAATTTGGAGAGCCTGATTGAGTGCATATTTTTAGAAAGCGAAAATTGCTGACGTGGTTCTTGAAATTGTTGACGTGACCCTCGGAATGCCAAACGCGGTCATTTTGGGCTTTAGTTTTCAGAACTCTGGAATAGTGCCTTAAGCACTGTTTGGTAGCATGGGTTTTTTTTGGGAAAAAAAACCCAAAAATAGATTATTTTGAGCTCATTTATTTTTAAAAAAAATAAAATAATATTCATTAAATAAAAAATATATCGTTTAGAAACTGTTTGTCCAATTTTTTTTTTGATTTGGGCCAAAAATAAATTAAAAAACTTTTTTTCCCTTAAAAATTAATTTTTTAAAACTTTTTTTACTTTAAATTTTAAATTTCTGCCACAAACAATGCATTTGGCCTTTAAGGCACTGTTTGGCTGACACAAATAGTGCCTTAACAGCTATAATTTTTTTTTTAAAAAAAGTTTTAAAAATTCAATTTTTTAAAACTTAAAAAAAAAAACAATTAAAATAAAAAATTCATTTTCTTATTCCCATAGGATTTTATAATCCTTATTTTCTTATTCCAATTCATTATTTTTAATCTTAAAAAATCATTACATAATAAAAATTAAATGTCATAAACATCTTAAAAGCAAACAAAATGTAACATAAATTAAATATCTTCATCACCGTAGTGGTTCTACAAATTTTCCATCAAATCATTCATCAACCATGTATTTATCTCTTTGTTGCGAATCTAAAGTTAGCAAGAGAATATGTGTGTCGCTAAAACCGATGGGCATTGACTTAAAATGGGAATCGGGATTGCATCCTCCAGTGGTGGAGTCCATCTTCTAACATTTGTGTGATGCTCATCTTCAACGATCATATTGTGAAAGATGATGTACATTTTCATTATGAGGCGCAAGTCACCTTTCTCCCAGTAACGCACTAGTCCTTGCGTTATTGCCCACTTGATATGCAATACCCCAAAAGCCTATTCCACATATTTCCTGCATGCCTTTTGTTGCTGAGCAAACAATTTTTCTTTTCCAGTGGTTAGGTGCCAATTGATATTTCGCTTGCATCTAGGAGAGACTGTAACTATCTTCAAAAAGCGATTACGTGCCTTTAAACTTTGATTTGAATTTATGTTTAATTTCTTGATTAATATTTTCAAAATATTTTTATTTATCACATATTTATATTTATACGATTATCTTCTATTACAATTGGACAATATTATGCTATCCGATTCCAACACTCTCTTCCCTCACATAATTATTGGTGTCAAGAGGTTAGGAAAAATATTATTCTATTGCTTCTTTAAGCCTGATAACCCCTTTTCTTTTTCTTTTTTTTCTGCAAACCAAAAAAAATCTTTTATTAGATGAAATTAAATATGAATACAATCCATATAAGCTTTCTCTTTTATGAAAGTTGGGAAAACATCAGAAAAGCATAGGGTTTCTCTTCTTTGCATAGCATATTGGGCAAGACTATGAGCCAAAACATTTGCCTACCTCTTCACCCAACCAATCTTCCATCGATCATGTAGTTTAATATAAGCTTGAATATCTCCCCATATAGCATCAATATGAACTGAAACTTTTGATGGATTAATCACCAAACTACAATCTCCACTTTTATTAATTCCCATGCTTGAACCCACTTTAGGGCTAATCCTGCAGACATGGCCTTAGCTATTAAGTGCAGAAGCCACGTTTAAATGGATGACTACCTTTAATACCTTACCCCTACAATCTCGAAGAACTAAGCCAGTAGCAGCATCTTTGGTGTGATCTCTATAAGTAGCATCAAAATTAAGCGCGATAACAAATCATTTTATTTATAAAGCATGTTGTTTCCTTTGAGTATATCTCTTTTTTCACGAAAAAAGAAGTAAAAAATAAATAAATAAATATATATAATGATGTATTAATGAGCTTAGAATCCTGAACTTTTATATGAAATTTGCAAAATGATATAGTTGTAACTTAATTTTTTTTTTTTTTTTTCAAGTTAACCGGGGGTGTCCGGGATGGTATGAATCTTTGGGGCCCCCTTAATGACCTGACTAATTCCTGAGGATCCAGAAGGGCACCTCCTCATCCGAGCCGGGTAAGTCACTGCAGGGACAGCGGAAGCTAGTCACAAAAAACAACCAACAAAATTCGAACCCCAGACCTTATACTCGTTAAGTTCCAAAGTCCAGCGAGTAAGCCGCTAGCCATATAATAATATAGCTGTAACTTTTTCTTTCTTTCTCAGCAACAAAATTTATATTGGTATTCTAATTCTAATATATGCCCATTTGACAAGTAACATAGACAAAAGAACATTTTTTATTTTGAAAATAATAAAATCCATAAGAATAGAAATCTTTTATTCTAAATATTTTTTTCAAATTTCTAGCAATAATTCAATAACTAATACATAATTTCATATTTAATTTTATTTATAATAGCTGAAATTAAACCATATAAAAATAAACTCTTTTTTTTTTTTTTTTTTTTTTTTTTTTTTTGAGACACATGATAAAAAGTATTGGTACAAACCCGGGAAAAAAAATTTGTTTTATTTTCTGTTTTTCTCTTTATGCTCTTGGTTGTTCACTTTTTAAGTGACATTGCAGCAAACTAAGCGGGAAAGGAGAGAGGATCTAGGGCACAATTCTCTGCTTCGATTTTTCATTCAATTGAAGCTACAGAAAGGTATGCATCACTTCTCATTCTCTCTTTTATTAACAGATCTTAACTACCTCTCTCTATCTCTACATATTTATGTTTTAGATAGTATGGACATTCACATGACCGGTATTTATTTGTTTTTATGATTGTTACCATATTGTTGGTAGTTTAATTATTTAATTTCTTTAACGATTCCTGTTTATTTTTATACATATCAGTCCCATATGTATTTATAATTTTAGGGTTTTGTTATTATTGATTCAGACATCATAATTCATAAAGAATTTTTTTTTTCAATCAATAATGATGCAGTTGGTGGTAATTTGATGGTTGCAGGATCAAGAGAGAAGCTCACAAACTCAATAGGATGGTACATCCTCTCTCTTTTTGTGTCCATCTCTAGGTTGCAGTGCCATTTTGGCTTATCGAAAAAAAGACCATCTTTATGTGTGTGTGTGTGTTCAATATATACAAGGAGTAAAAATTTAGCGAAGGAAAAATAGGGCATCTATCTCGAGAGGTTTAATGACGTTTCTTTTTATTGTTTGTACATCAAATTTAGAAGTTTTTTGTGATGCTACCAGTGCAACAAATTTCCCCAACAAAAAGTCTTTGGGTGTGCTCCCCTTTTGAGCTTTCGTAATGCAATCTTACTTATGAAGTAGTTAAGTAAGTAAAGAAAAAAAAAAAATTTCCCCAGCAAAAAGGTCAAACAAAAGTTAGAGGTGAATTGCAAAAGAAGAAAAAGAAAGAAATTTTCAGAGATTGCAACCAAAACTGCATCGAGTGGCATACCACATAACCCTTAGACAATTATCACTGCTGTATCAAATTATCAATCATGTCATTGCCAGTACTAGTGCCATTGACAAAACTACAAAACAACAGTTAACTATTTTATGCTTTTTGAATAAAGTTTGGACTGTGTTTGCCAAAATGCCACTCTTTGAGGAATCAACATGTAGCATTGAAACAAAAGTCAGAAGAAAGAACGAAAATCCTGATACCTAGGCAAATATGCTTTTATTTTATTCTGATTGCTCGTGTCTTTGTTGCCTTACGTGGCCTGTTGTGTATTTTTTCAGTCAGGCAGAAAAGAAACAGTATTGGATTTGGCAAAGTTTGTTGACAAGGGTGTACAAGTCAAGCTTACTGGTGGAAGACAGGGTTAGTGCTTGCATTTGTGTTATTGTTGTTGTCATTATGCTTTTGCTAAAAATTTAACAAATTAAACTTACGCAAGTGAAGCTTGGAACCTTTTGCATAGGAATCCTGTTCAAATACAAAAGTTTTGTGTGTATGTATATGAATGCGTGCACATACTAGTAATTATATTTATGGGGTAGTATTCCCTGCATAATATGCAATTCTAAATTCAAGCTGGTCAAATGTCTAACTGGGTAGGTAATAGAAATTATCCTTTTCATGGAAGTTTGTGAGATGATACAAAAGTTGACTACATCCATGCCAAATTATTTTTGATTCAGGTAATGAACTAGACTACCTCGGATGGTGCCCTTGCTATTCTTGGAGAATGTTCTATCTGGTTCCTTTACTTACAACATAAAAAAGAATTCACCAAACTTATCGAATTAACTTGTCATTGACGTAGTGTTTCATCGAGATCCAATCCAATTAATGATGTCATTTTCTGGTTCCTAAATGGGCCTCTTTCCTCTTAAGTGTATTTTGATCCTGATTCTTACACTAGTAACACATTTACTGGAAAGGGACTTTTTTTGTTTAAGGGCATATGTCACTTGAGGCTTGCATTCTCACTCATTTATTGCTTAATACTCAAATCCAATTCTGTTTCACACCTCATGTGTTCCAAACAATAAGAATTCCATTTTTTAAATCCAAATCCCATGGTTCCAAACACAGTGTTAATTTTGAGGATTTTTCACTTCCATGTAATCTATCAAAATTTGACTTTATTGCTTTAAAAATTCCGATATTTCAAAATAGAGTGAGAATTTGTGTGGAACTTGATTCTATAGAAACTAAAAACATCTAAATCATAGTGACAAAATTGACCAAACTGTCTTATTCAAATTTTTGGGAATTGCATGCACTGTTAATGGAGGTTAACAAATGTATCTAATAGGGGAAGTTAGTATTATTGTTCAGTACATAGGGGAGGACGGTGTTATATCAGCAAACCTCAACGGAGATTAGTATAAATTTTCCTATCATTTTCAATACACCACAACAACCTAGGGCATGCATTAATGGGTTTCTCGCTTCCATGTAGAAGTGTTATTACTACCAACCCCTACTATGAATTCCTCGCATAATTGTTACATGTAACACTTCATTTAGGAAAAAATTGTTGCATGTAACAAGCCTGTGTAGGGCACTTCTTACGTATAGGCTATGCACACATCTTTTGTTTTAGTTTCTCCTCCTAATTAAAATTATACAAGTGAAATGCCAGCCACGTTAACTAAATTTATATAAGTAACATGAATTTTAATTCTTTACGACTTCAAAAAATATACCCAATATTATACTGATCGCATATATATTTTTTTAAACTGCAATTTGATGTAATCTAAATTCTAGATTAATTGAGGTATTCGTTCATTGCAGCAACCCTTCAAGTGGTTAGTCTTCAATCTTCATGTTTGGTGTGGAAACTCAATTTTATTTTGATATAACCCTTGCCTTAAAATACTCTTTTTCCTTTTTATCTTTTTCTTTCTGATAGAAAAAAATTTCATCACTGAAAATCATTTATTGTAAAGCTTTTGAAATTACTAACTTGGCTTGGAAGTGTTTGAGCAGTGATGAAGTTGTTTGGTTGACTAATTTGTTTATCAAGATCTAACAAACTAAGAAGGCTTATTGGTGGGAGTAATATCTCTCCAGGGTGATAATCGAAACTAAAAACAGCTCTATAAAACTTGAGTCCTACAATAAAAATTTAGGAGAGAATGATTGAGCAAAACATAAATCACGAGACGACTATATTGGCAATTCATTTTGGTTCATGCTAGGGATGTCTACCAGAAACTTTTTTTCTTATTTACGTGATTAATTAAATTTAGAAGCAAAGAGACTTGCATATTAGCATTTGTTGGCTTAGAGAAAGTATGATTAAGTTCTTGGAAAGAAAAAATGGACGGTTCCATGTGTAGTGTAATTTTAGAAAAATTAGAAGAAAAAATGACAGTATAATGAAACTTGGTGGCTAAGGGATACCTAAGAGTGATAATTTCTGATAATGTGGATTGGTATCCCTTAAAGAACGGGAAATTAGGGAGGGATTTACTCATAAAATTAAAGCAGGATGGACGAAATAGGAAAGTGTTTTGTGGCTGTCTGATCTAGAATTCCAAGGTAATGAGAAGTTCCGTACAATACGTTGAGCAATATTGAAAAAAGAAGTATATAGTGAAGCTAAAGATGGTGAGTTGTATGAGTGTCACTTGCAAGAAAAGATGGTAAGAAGCAAATGCGTCCGTGGAAAAAAGAGGTGGCACCAATTGTAGATAATATGAAGGGAAATCATTTAAGATAGTTTTGTTAGAATTAGTGTCTTTAGCGTTGGCAAATCGACAAAACCGTGCATTATAATTTTATTTTTGAGTCAAAATGCGTCTCTGTGAGTTGTGCTGGGTGAAGCACAGAAGTTCAGATCCTTGAAACTGCAGTGCAAAAGTAAGGTCTTGAACAATGTATTGAACTCATATCTAGGTTGTAGTGTACACATTTGATTTTGCATGAAAACGTTTCTAGAACATGTTTTGAGTGTGTTTGAAAACATTAGAAGAGTTTTGAAATTACTCTGAATGATTTAAACTTGTTTCTGACTGGTGCTGAAAAGTTGACTGTTACATTGCACTGTTATAACTTATTCTAGAAACTTTTCCACTGTTACAAAATAAATATGCACATGTTCAACTTTGTCCGGCAAGGTGGACATTGCTTTTCAGGAAACAATGCGCTGATACAATTTTTACTTGCACCAGTACAGATTACTTTCAAAAGTTGCAGTTAATTGTATTTCAAAAATTGCATCAGTAAAATATATTTTCCCACTGATACAAGTTATAGTAGTAAGTTTTGCATCGATACAACCGTGTTTTGCACCTGTACTACTTTTTGCAGAATAATGAAAGTAAATTTTGAATTGGAAACTTTTAATACTTTCAATGGTTGACTTATGCAAGAAAATCTCCCTACTTAGTTTGGTTTTAAGTAGGGATTAGCGTGCATGCGAATATGCGAGATTTTCTTAAAACCAAACTAAGTATGCAATTTATACACATTTTGATCACCAAACTAAGTAGGGATGGCATGTGCATGCTTTAACATTAGGGTGCATGCTTGTACACTTGAAAGACGTTCATACGAGAGATTGACAAGGCTTTTCAAATTAATTCTTTTTTCTCTGATAATTCCTTCTGAGTGAGCTGTGAGCTTTACTTCGGTTCTTACGAACTACTTTTCTTTTAATTCATGTAAACACAAAAGTATGTGAGCTATATTTGTTCTACATAGCTGATCATGGATTTGTGAGAACGACAAAGCAGGAGATCTTCATAACCACTCTACAACTGCTTGACAAATGCGGTATACAGTCATTGGTGATGATTGTGTTAATGTGGATGGCATTGGGCTGGTGGTTTTGGGAGTTGTATGTTGGAGGAAAATCAACTGTGGGTGATTCTAGGGCGAATCTGGACGCGCGAGGATAGTGATACTCGTTCGTCTTCTCAGTGGATTGGTTTGCCTAGGATGGATTTTTTTGTGTTTTTTCTTGTTTGAGTTTTCTATGAAAAATTCTGTTTTCTTAGTTTTGCTTTTATCTGTTTATTTGCATATGATTGTATGGTGGGTTGGTTTCCAATCCCGTTTTGATTGATAAAGCATGTTCAGTTGGGTTAACTTCACGAAACTTTTCCTAAATTTTCAGATTTCATAGTTTTTCTACCAATCTAGTGAATAATTTATATTTGTTGTCATTGTAGGACAATTAGAGACACATGTAGGTAAGATTGTGTGCGGCTGGGCTAATCTGTGCAAGGGGGAACGCGTTTGTTTTATTTATTTTTTAATTTATTATTATTATATGTGTATATATATATTTGTGTGTGTTATGGATTTGAAGAAGGTAAGGTGGTACAATTTCTCGAATCTTGGCTATTTTATTTACTCCGGCAGCATCTAGGGACTAGCTTACCAGACATATACAGTCTAGCTTAAGGGTTAGGTTGGTGACCTTCGCACTTCTATTTATAAAGCAAATCGACTTTCAACCAAAGGCATCTCCTCTTTATTAAGTACTCCTTTTGCATGTTTTGTTTTACATCCATCTTTGTGACTTTTGGCACTTTACATCGTGATTTTTTGTCATGCCTTGGTCTCAAATTGGAACAGAATACTGTTGTTTTGGATTCAATATGGGTACTTAGTTATTTATTTTTTTATTTTTATTTTTTATTTTTACAGTGACAGGGACTTTGAAAGGATATGACCAGTTATTGAACCTCGTCTTGGATGAAGCTATAGAGTTCCTAAGAGGTAATCACCTTGCCCCACAGCATACGGCTTGCAAGCATCTGTATTTAGTGTCTGTATGTCCATATGCATGCTTTTGACTAAGATTAGCTAATTGTTTTTTAGTCCTTTCGATACTTAATCTTCCGTGGTCAGTGGAAGAATTGATGAAAAAATAAAAACATAGCTAATATGCACATGCCATCCCTACTTAGTTTGGTTTTACACGTTTTGATCATATTTTTTCTGTTACTTTTTGGCTGTAGATGCGGATGATCCTCTGAAGACTACTGATCAAACAAGGCCCCTTGGCTTGATAGTATGTCCCCTCACAGTATATTCATCACAAATTTTTTTTTCCCACAAATTATATTCATCACATTCACATGTCTCTATAAGTGGAAAACTTGCATTGAACATTGACAAGAAGTATGGTGTTTAAGATGTGACCAATTTAGTTGTTAGTATGTTACGGATAATTTACTGACAGGATATTTTGGAAAATAAAATCTGAATAAGTCCAGCATTATCCAGTCCTGCCTGCCTGTGTAGGGTATGAGTTGGTGTGTGTGTGTGTGTTGGGGGGGCTGTTGTTGAGGATGCTGACCTACCTTTATGATTATTCTGCACAAAGTGTCAGTTCTCAGACTTGGACCCATATTCTCACATGTGGTAGCCATTATATAAAATCTCAGCCGATACTAGGCGACTTGGCCGAGCCATAACGCACTATGACCGGAATCATTCTTCTTACTGCCTGTTATATTTGTGGAAATAAAAAGCACAAGTGACTTGGTAAAAAATTGGGGTGACATGGGCAGATTAAACCCAACTCGGCAGATAAGTTCAACAACTGTTGTGATGGCCCATCAGCTGTTTTAATTCAACCATTTCAACCCCATGCTCTCTCTCTCTCTCTCTCCCTCCCTCCCTCTTTTGGTTCCCCCCGCCCCTAAAATTCAATCTAAACCGTAAATACATGAATCAAAACTCAAAAATACTTGATTTTGGCTTAGATCTTGGATCAATGCACTATGCTTTCAATTAATTGGTATGCTTCATAAAAAGTAGATTAACATTTTCATGTTGCTTGATGCTAGATCTCTAAACCTTGTTCGTAGATCTTGCAATGGAACTCCCAATCTATTCATTTTTTCAATTATTTTTTGAAGTTTCTTCAAAAGGGTAAGTGACTTGCACACACATTCTCATAGAATCTTGTAGGTAATAATTTCTTTGTATTTTAGATCACATAGAAGTTGTAGATTTTAAATTTTTTGTTTGTAGATCTTGCAATGGAACTCCCAATCTATTCATTTTTTCAATTATTTTTTGAATTTTCTTCAAAAGGGTAAGTGACTTGCACACACATTCTCATAGAATCTTGTAGGTAATATTTTTTTTGTATTTTAGATCACATAGAAGTTGTAGATTTTAAAATTTTTCTATAATTTTCTATAAGCTATATTTTTTAAAAAAAATTAATGGTTTAAATTTTCTATATCAGTAATTTTAAAAAATAAATTGTATCAATGTTTTATAGGCTATGTAATGAATGTTATATGACTTGTAATTTCTACATGCATACGTCACATAAATTAAATTGGATAAGACTTGCCTACTCACTGGTGAGTAGGTCATTCCTACTGACCACTAATGTAGTCCAATCACAAATGCACAAATAGTCTGTAATTACAAAATTTGGAAAGTGATAAATAAGGAAATCAGAGAGGGTGATTGAATTTATTCCAAAAAAAAAATTATTGTCCTTATTTATCACTTTCTAGAAGTCTTGTCCAATAAAATTTTGTAGAAATATATGAAAAAATTTAAAATTATCAAAATAATTTTTTTTTTATAAAAAAATTATATTGTTTATACATTAACATTTCGTACGTAACCATAATTATGTACCAGTTATAAGTGAAAATTAGACATTAGTATTTTTTATTTATTTTGATAGGTGTTTAAATACAATCTATAGGCCGTTGCATTAAATTCCTTTTGGGTGTGTTTGGCTGCTTGGAATTTGAGCCTTGGAATTGGAATTTGAATTGGTGGAAATTTTGGTTCAATTTTCTTAGTTGTTTTTCTCCAATTCCAATTCCAAGGCTTCAATTCCATGCAGCTGAACACACCCTTTAAATATTCATGATTATCCACTAAAAATCATTGAAGACTCATATTTACTCAATTCTAGAGTAAAAAGTTCCCTATTGTCCTGATTAGGCAGTGGTGTGGAAGATAAAAATTTCACGATAGCGGTTTCTGATACTGTTACGTGACATCAATTACACCATGATTGCAATTGTGTCCATTTGCAGCAATGTCCGTCCATGATTTAAACCTTGGTGATGGTAAAATCTTTTTATTACACCAAGCAATAATCTCTATACTCAACAAAGTTGTCTTCATAAATCAATCGTTTAAGATTACATTCTGCAAATAATGCAATTTTGAGATGCTCTGATGGAGTTGTTTTTTTAATGCCGGACATTCTACTCCATATATGATAGCTGACCTGATAACCGTCTATAAAATTTTATTGTTATAACCATCTTGTTATTACTATCTATGTTATTGTTGTTGCTGTGGGCCCCACCATCTTTCTTATTATTGGTATTATCATTATTAATTTTTTCTTGTTTTGTATGATCTCCTCCAAATTTATGCTCTATTTTGTTACTAACACAGGCATCCCAACTTTTCATGCGCTTTAATCCGTTCCTTGATGCTTTCTTTCTCCTTCCCTGTGTGTGTGTGAGTGAGAGAGACTATGTTACTTGGAGAGCTGTAGTGTAAACATTTAGTTGGCATAAGCTTTAGCTAATAGATAGTCTTGGACTAATGGAGACAGTTTTGCATCACTTTAGGGGAAAAATACAAGATTGTAATTAAGAATTGATGTCTTCAGCTAAGAGCTAATAGATAGTCTTGCACTAATTGAGACAGTCTTGTGTCACGTGAGGGGAAAAATACAAGGGTGTAATAAAGAACTAATGTCTTGGAGATGAAGTTAATGGACAAATACAAGGTTGTAATATGTCTTGAAGATGAAACTAAAGGTTACGGTCTTGTGCTAATTAAGACAGTCTTGCATCACATTAAGGGAAAACCACAAGGTTGTACTGAAAAATAATTCCTCGAACCTCCAAAATCTTCTCCTTTAAGAACTCTCTACTTGAAATGTTTTCAAACACCTCTTTCCCCCAAAACATGCGGTGAGGGAAAGTTCTCGTAGACAAGTCACAATATCTTGAAGTGCGCATTGTTTATTTTGATAATGTGCTTTGCTACTGCAGGTCTGTAGAGGAACAGCAGTAATGCTCGTGTCACCAACTGATGGTACGGATGAGATTGCCAATCCTTTTATGCAGCCGGATGGGGCCTAGTTGCCTTAAAATCAGTATGCCTTCTTCATTTCGCCTTTAGTTTCTAAAAGCAACCTGACTTTGAAGACGAAGATTGTAGAGAATTTGGATTTAATTTATGTTGACTACATAAAGGCCAATATATATATATATGATATGAAGTAGTAAATTTGCCATGTCGCATGGTGCATTTTCTTTGAATTGGTCGTCTTCTTCTGATGGGTTGTATAGCCCCTCCCTTGAAAATGAAATTGATGTATTTGCGATTCATTATTCGTTTGTTGTTCAAACTGGAATTATCTTCTTTATCTCAGCGATAGTGATATATAATAGATTAAATATCATTGACTGAAAATTGGAAGGGCCTAGCTCTAAGCAGGTTTTTATGTAAGCTATATATAAGACACATTGAATTGTTACTTTTTCCCTCTTGAAATTGCCAGCTGCTTAATGCTTTTTTTTTTCTTTTTTTTTTTCTTTCCCTGGTCAATGATGGTGGTTTCGGGCCACTTAGAGTACCCCATGATCCACCACCGGCCACATGCAGTCCCCTGTGGTAGAAAAAATGCTTATTGTTTTAGATCGAAGTACAAAGTAATAGAAAAAAAAATTGAAAAACTCTTCTGGTTGTCTATATGAATGGTAGATTAGTGTTCTAGTTATTATCGGTTAAGGTGATGACAGCTTCAACCATTACTGAAGCTGATGGTAGGAATGTTTGCCCGTGTTTAAAATTAGGATTTCTCTTATATTGATGGAAAATTGTAAATATAGATATAGATCTACAGAAATGATCTCTTGCTCATCGGTAAACAAGAAATTTATCCACTCCAAACCATAATAACCGTTGGATCTGGTTGTTGTTTATTTTTGGCAATTACCTTTTTGACACTCGAATCAGATCCAACGGTCATTATGGTTGGTGTGGATAAATTCATATATATTATGTTCACTGGAGACTGAAGGCTGTTTATGTGCTAAAATTTTAATTGTTCTGAGTTGAAATCTCTGTGGTGAGGATGAAAAAATGTTCCTTAGCAGTACTTTTTGAATTTCATATCCTTTTCAGAGTAACAGGCTGATAGCCCTCGAATGTGGATTCCAAGTATTTCCAACTAATATTGTTCTTTATATATATATATATATATATATATATTCCTTCATTGTTCTTTATGTAGAGAAACAATAAGGTATGCAGGGAATGTCTACTATTAGATTCCAGGTCCATGCATTTAGATTACAAATATATATATTTTATTTCTAAGGTTTTATTATTTGCCAGTTGTCTGTATAAACTTGTATTGGTGTCTCTTAACCACCTTTCAATTCCTCTCATTTGGTAGGGTTTATAAAAGTCACTATCATAAGAGTTTGTAAGATGCTTTGCTTTGGTAAGCGAAATCCATAAATTAGACAGTGACATATTTACCACAATGTATCAAAAGAATTTGTATAAATGAAACAAAAGTGGAATAATTGGAATAGACGTCATTCAAATAACATTTCTCTGAAGTTTTTTTCTGAAATACATTACCATGTTATTCTTTTTATTTTAATTATCGATTATTATCTTCTCATTTTAAGTAAGTTACACTGATCTCCTTTTTAGATAAGCAAAATGACATAAACACTTCTTATGCACGGAAAAAGTATACTTGCCGCTCTGATGCTTTGTTCGGTGGAAGGAAGAAAAATGATAGAGGGAAGAGGAACAAGTTTTCTTCATTCGTAAAGAGCAAACAAGGAGAAAAGAATAACAGGATAGGAAGAAATGAAGAAAGACGAGTTGAAGTATTATGAAAATTTTAAATTATAATAGTATTCTTCCGGACACCCACTATTATCAAAAAAAAATTACAATAGTATTCTTAATAAATTACAATAATATAGATAATGTTAGTGTAATGGTAAAAATAATTTAAAACTCCCTCTTCCCTTCTCTCTTAAGGAACCAAATGGTATATAATATTGTATGTTTTGGACCCGAGTTCGCATGATTTTGCTCTTTAGTTTTATCCCAAAAGGCATCTGCCAATTAGAGTGTATAAATTCTACATATATAGCATTTTTCTTTTTCACACTCAGAATTATGCACTTATAGTTCATCCAGTGTGATAGCCCAATGTTTCTTGCACCCACCCACTCACATGATCGCCACAATCATTCCCCTATGGTCCCCACGTCCTCGTTGGCCCTAGTTATGACTGAATTAGCTTCTTCTTTTGTCTTTCATTCAACCGAATAAAAAGATAGAATAAAAAGATAGAATGACACATCTTTCCTTTATGTATGTCTTATTAATTCCGGCTGGTTTAGCTTAGCTTGTTCTCTCTTCTCTTTCATTTAACAAAATAAAAAGATGGAATGACACAAGCTCTCCTCTAAGTATTTCTCATTAATTTCTTCTTCTATTTCTTCCATTTAATTTTTCTCGTTCCTACTGGCCAATATTTAAGAACAAAACATTTCTAATTTAGTAACACATTGTTATCTTTAATTTTCAATTCTTCATTATGTGTGATAAAAAAAAAATAAATAAAGAAAAATTTCTCAATTATGTTTGAAATTGTTTGTCAGCAAAATACAGTATTTTTTTAAAATGTCATTTTTGTCTTTGGACGCATTTTTTATTCTCAATTTTATTTTTTATTTTTTTTTTATTATTATTTTTTTACTTTTTATTTTTGTAATTTGGCTTTTACTAAATAAAAGTCACGGTAATTTGTAACCAACTTACCTTCCCAAAAAAAAAAAAAAATTTGTAACCAACTTGCCAACTTGGGTGGGCCCTCACAACTTTTAAAATGTCACTTTCTTTCACTTTCCAACTACAAAATATCAACTGACAATTTACTCCGAACTTTTTATACAAATTTACAGAACAAACCATCTTTTCTATCTTCGGCTAGTAACTTTCACATTTTCCTTTTCTCGGCAAACAAACAAGGGTGAAGGAGAAAGAAAATTGAAGAAGAAGATCACAATCTCAACACCACAGAATTTTCATAAACCACACAGCTTCAAAGCAAAGACAAATATAATTAGAATAGTACAACAAGAAAAAGAGATAATTTTTTTTTTTTATTATATACAAAATATGTTCAAATCATTCAAACATATCTCTTAATCTCTCCACCTTTCTGGTTCTCCCTGTCTCTCTCTAGACTCTAGAGAGAGAGAGTTCATCTATGATGGAGAACAACAGATCGAGTCCGATCTCTCCAAACGCATTCCATTTCTTCCATATTTTCCGATTCAAACTCTGATGATCTTCGCCGCTTTCACCACCGGATTCTCTCTCGCGATCGCCTCGCGACCGGCCGATTTGTAGTCGTAGCTGCACTCGTGTCGGTCGGAGTACCTGTGCTCCGAGCAGAACAGATCCCCGCAACGGCACCGGAATCCGGTCAACCCCACCTTCCTCCGGCATCCGGAGCACCGATTCACCACCCTCTTCGCCGTTGCCGCGAAGTTCTCCTTCGGCTGATCAGCTGCCGCCGCCGTCGTCTGATCCTGCTTCGTCAGATCCCGGCTGGTCTCCGCCAAATCGGAAGACCTCAGCGGCAAAGCGGACGAGCTGGATCTAGGACTCTTGGCTCCGGCAAAGACTCCAGCGACGGCGGCGAAGCAGTTCTGGCACATGTTGTTGGTAGCAGGGTTGGCGGTGAGGCCGCAGTTGTTGACACAGAGGGTGACGACCTTGAATTCGGCGTCTTCTTTCTCGGTCCTCTGAGCCATTTTTGTGGGATGTAGAGAGAGAAAATTGGGAATTGCAGAGAGAGAAAGAGAGATTATGGAATTATGGAATGGAAGACAGACAGAGAGAGAGAGAGGTGGGTAATGTAATGTAAATGTGCATGGAATGTAGACCGCATAGCATAGAGGCGTATGTATATATTGTTTGTCATATATCAAATCAAAATATATATTCAAAATAGTGTGTGCTTTTGTTGAATACTGGTGGTGGTTGTAGATTAGCAGGACGTGTTAATTACTCAACCTGTCACATTTTAGGATATAATATCATGGACGACAATGAAATTTACTCTATTTTATTTTTATTTTTATTTTTATTCAAATCTGGTTTTTTTTGAGAATTACGATGGATCGAAAAACTAAGCTCGACTTGTCATAATTTTGAAAAGGTTAAGCACGACACCACTTGTATAATTAAAAATGCCAACATTAATACATAATATTAGTGTTTCAGCGCAGCTTGAGTTCGTGTTTAAAATTATTTTGACCGGTTCAAAATTGATAGGAACACACACAAGTTTAAGGTCTAAATTTTTTTACAAAGCATGCATAAGCCTATATTTATAAACGTGTTAATGTGCCCGTGTTCATGAATGCATGTGAGCTCACACAAGCTTAGCGTTCATCACGAGTTGAATAATATTTGAACATGCTCACTTACTAAATGAGCCCAGGCAAACTTATTTACTTAATGAATGAACTCAAGCATAAGCTTTTAAACAAGCGGATCCTAAGTTGAATTCATGAAAAAAACTTTGTTCATTTACTATATTGTGGACGTAAAGCCATTACATAGAATTTTAATGTAAAAATGTTAAATTATCAAAAAAAAAATTTCTTATTATTTCTCGATTAATGTGTTATATCCTTAAAATAAATGTCTTGTGTGTTGTATTCTAAGTCACACAATCCTTCTTGACAAGTGTCACTTTCACGCTCTGAGTGTGCTCCTCCTCTCACGTTTCACGCGCGCTTTCGTTCAAATTCTCATTACTTATAACTAAATTTTGTCGCTCTCGCTCTCACTTTATGTAACTTAGGTGTGTTGTATTCTTCCTTCCTTGCCTCCAAATTAGCAAGAAAGAACTTAGAACATAATAATAAGATGACATGTCTCTTTAAAAAAAAAAAAAAAAAAAAAAAAAAAAGGAAAAAAAGAGTTAGGAATTATTATTTTTTGCTGATATTTATATAAATATCTGAGGAAGATACGTGTCATCATATTATTGTATCTCACCATCTAGTTTGGAGGAATTGTTTTCTTTACGCGTGGAGAAAGTATTTTTTTATTATTATATAAGCTGAGTTAACTGGCATGATAATGAAACTAGAAGGAGGCAAGTCAAGAAAAACCAATACATAGAATTTCAATGTAAAGATGGATTTTTAAAGTAACTTCTTGACTAAATAATGTGTTAAATTATCAAAATAAAATAAATGAGTTATATTGGTATAGCGGCTTATTGCATTCTCAATATAATAGTGCTGTATATATAATAATATAACAAAACATGTCTTTTTTGAGTTTTAAATATAAAAGAGTTCTATCAATGTTTTTTTAATACTACGTAATTTATATTTAAGGAGGATATATATCATTATATTATTGTGTCACTCTCACTGGTTTGGAGGAATTTCTTCTTTTCATATGTGGAGGAAGTATTGTTTTTCTTTATTATCCAAAGTGACTTGCTAATGAAATTATGGAGGAGGAACAGTGAGAAAAACAAAAGTTGTAATTTAAAGATATTTTCATCATGTTATAAAGTAAAAGGTAGATGATTCAAGTTTATATAAAAATAAATGAGTCGCTAGTCTATCCGTCTCATTTAAAAAAAAAAAAAAAAGTCAGCACCCTAAATGAAAATACATAATTTGAATCTTTTCTTTTTTTTCTTCTTTTCAAATTGAGTAAATAAAAATATTTTGTCGATTTGAATATTGAAATACCTAATGCCTTTAAGACAATATAAAAAAGAAAAAGCACCAATTTCAGTTTTAAGGGGTGTTTTGGGGGTTTTATTAAAAAAAAAATTTTGGGTCAAAATTGATGATCAAATATATATAAAAAAATAATTTATACATATTTTTAAATGTTCAATATTTATGTAAATATAATCAACTGCAGGGTTTTTTTTTTCTGGTATATTTTAATATTATATTTTTGGTCTGGTAATATTTGCTCTGGTTGTTAAAGTTTTAAATGAATGTATCAGTTTGGTGACAAGAAGAAAAAAACAGTTGAAAGCATATGTAAATATGCAATAATAATATGTTTGATTCATGCATGACAATTACGGAATGAAAGTGACACCACGTGCTCAGGGACATATTTGGAATTTCACATCATCCCATTATGCCGCACCCACGGGAAGAGGTGATAATAGCAGTTCTCTCTCCCCCCCGGCTTTTAGCCGCCCCATCTGATTCATCATCCTTCTTTTCGCCGTCACGTACACGTGTGCAGCAGGACCTTTCCACATGGCGTCCTATGATTGGCCAAAACGCTTTCTCTCCCTATCTCCACTGCGTTTTGAGATTGTCCGTGAACACGTGTCTACCCTCATTTGGCCGATTCATTAGGTTTTGGTGAGAGCAAATAAATATTAGATGTGTCAGACACGTCATATCATTAGTGTACCTATTCAATGAATTCTTTTAAAAAAGTTAACCCACCTAATTATAAAGTCTCGTAACGAGATAATATGTTATACTAGTAAACATTGAGTACGTTAGACATGACATGTCAATAGTATATCCATTCAATGACAATATGTTATTTTTTTAAAAAAAAAGTTAGCCAACTTACTTATAAAATTATTGATAACAAAATAACGACATTGGGTGGATATACTTATTAATTTTGAACTTTAAAAACCATTGATTAACGAGCTAAGCTGAGCTGAGCTCAATGTGGAGCTTCATTATGTGTCTTGGTTCTGTGCTAGTTTATGCAACAATTTCACAATACTTATGGAATTTCACATAACTTATTCCATAATTTTTCATTGCTTATGCAATAACCACGATACATTATGTAAAAATAACTTCTTTTTATGTATATGTTGCATTATTGTGTACTGTGTTACACTAACAATCTAAATACAGCACATGATTAGATATTTCAAGATAATTAAATCATAATTTAATTGTAGTAAAATCTCTGCAACACACTACTCGTTGCAGTAAATGATTGGGGCTAAATTTTTGAATTTCAACTTGGAATTAAATTATTAAATAGTGTGAGATCATATAGTTCTGGCTAATCACAATTAAATTACCACCCTTCATAAGTGGAGTGAATATAGGGTGCGCCAGGCGTGCCATATCATTAGTATATCCACCCCCAATCATTTACTGCAACGAGTAGTGTGTTGTAGAGATTTTACTACAATTAAATTACGATTTAATTATCTTGAAATATCTAATCATGTGCTGTATTTAGATTGTTAGTGTAACACAGTAAACAATAATGCAACATATACATAAAAAGAAGTTATTTTTACATAATGTATCGTGGTTATAAAATTATTGTTAACGAAATAACGACATAGAATTCAATGACATTGGGTGGATATACTAATGATATGGCACGCCTAGCGCACCCTATATTCACTCCACTTATGAAGGGTGGTAATTTAATTGTGATTAGCCAGAACTATATGATCTCACACTATTTAATAATTTAATTCCAAGTTGAAATTCAAAAATTTAGCCCCAATCATTTACTGCAACGAGTAGTGTGTTGTAGAGATTTTACTACAATTAAATTACGATTTAATTATCTTGAAATATCTAATCATGTGCTGTATTTAGATTGTTAGTGTAACACAGTACACAATAATGCAACATATACATAAAAAGAAGTTATTTTTACATAATGTATAGTAGTTATTGCATAAGCAATGAAAAATTATGGAATAAGTTATGTGAAATTCCATAAGTATTGTGAAATTGTTGCATAAACTAGCACAGAACCAAGGCACATAATGAAGCTCCACATTGAGCTCAGCTCAGCTTAGCTCGTTAATCAATGGTTTTTAAAGTTCAAAATTAATAAGAAAATAAATTTAAAACGAATGCAAATGATCTCTAATAATCGAGTAATGATAAGTTTGTCACTCGAATCTAATGATCTGAGTAGTGGATTATTCAAACATACCTTATCTAAACATGGAGTTTGCAGACTCCACTCTCTCCCATCGTCACCACCACCGCCTCCGCCCACTCGATTTTCTCTCTTCCTCCCCGCCATCACGAGGTTACAATCTCGGCTGTGCCTCCACTCTCTCTATTCTCTCTCCCATCATCACCACCACTTGAAACTTGATGTTTCATGAAGCACCAAGTCCAAATCTTTTTCAAATAAGGTTGAGATTTATTTAATCCCAATTTTCATTCTTGACTTCAAAATCCCATCGAAAACCAAATATGCAATCCTCTGGTACATACCTGGTTCACTATTTTCCAAATTCAAAAGTCAAACACTGACTTTTGCCGCCGAGATTTGACCATCATAGTAACCTCCCTCGAGCACCAGAAACAGTACTTTTAACATATTAAGCGAACCACATCAAACAAGGAACGTATGTTTTGATTGCAATAGCAAAAATGAGAGAGAGTATAGTTTTAACGTAAGCCTCTAGAAGTCTAAACAAGTTAACCAATCAAATAAGAGGAACCCAACAATTAGGTGACCAAATCTCAAACTTAAGCACTAAGAAACCAAAACATCTTCGTAGCTAGAGGAGAAGAAAGCAAACATGATTCCTGTATTGGCGGTGAGCGAAATGGTATCAGCCTAAACTGTGAAAATGGGGTTGTGGGAGTGCAATACAAGCGTCGCATCACCGGAATTAGCATATGAGATTTAATAAAGAATCAATCCATATCCAACAAAGCCTTTGGCTATGGATCCCAACAAAGCCCTAATACGTGATTGATTCCATAGCTTTCTTTGTTTGTCCGCGAGCATGAGATAGAGAGCAAAACTTCAAAACAATAATGGTGCATGCATATATATATATATATATATATAAAATTAAGCAACCTTCACATAAAAAGAAAACAAATGTTTCTAAGCTAGAACAACAATAATTAACTTTTACTTATAAAGAAAAATAAATTAACATTTAATTCACCTCATGTAGCATTTCAATATATTATGAACACAGAAGATGATCGTACACAAAACCATACAAGTATATCATGTGGGTAACACACATCAATGAAAATTCACTCCATACACACCCAAATGAAAATTCACAAGTCACTCGATAAATCATCAACATCTCGTTCTCAAAACAATATATAGTGAAGAGTCGAACCAAAACCCGATTATCAAAACTATACAGTATATACAGTTCTCACCTCACTGATGGGACAGGCAGGCGGGCAATATTAAGTTTCATTATTTATACATCCTCTTTATTCTAGATAATTATCCTTTAGAAAACCAGAATTGTTGACTTCGCAGTTTCTCAATTTCTCCATCTGGGACCTGGTTTTCTAATTTCATTTTCCTTTAAATATCAGATGTAATTTATTCATATAATTAGGCATATGCCCGCCTCCAATCCAGTGGTTGGCTCCACAACAGCAAGAAGTTCTGCATCTGACGCTGAAAACGTAATAGCAAAAATCAGACCAGTGAGGAAAATAAAGAAAAATAGGGATAAAAACTCGCTCTCAAATATTTTGAGTAGCATATTATGCTCATGAAGAATTAGTTTGAGAATATACATTTCCTTTTTTGGGAATAAAAAGTGAAATGTCAACAAAAATTCAATTATAAACAGGACCAAGTGAAAAGAAGTTTCAAGGAAAAGTTCTATATAATTAAAGAATTCAGCAGGTCTACAGTAGTGTGTAAACCACCCTAATTAATATTTAGTACCTTCACTGATTTTGCCCCCAAAAAAAAAAAAACAAAACAAAGAGCATAGATTAAGAGGGGAAAAAAGAACACAAAATTAACAGAATCAACAATCTAGCAAACATATAGAGAAAAGATGTAGACAAGATGAGGACATGCCAAATATAAGGTTAGTCTGAAAGAAGAGATTCATAGAAGACATAACACACCCATGGAAAGCTCCGAGTGACTTCTGGAAAAATGTTCATCATATGTTCTTAGTAATTAGGGCAAATAACGATTGGCTAGCAAACATAAAGAGAAAAGATGTAGACAAGATGAGGACATGCCAAATATAAGGTTAGTCTGAAAGAAGAGATTCATAGAAGACATAACACACCCATGGAAAGCTCCGAGTGACTTCTGGAAAAATGTTCATCATATGTTCTTAGTAATTAGGGCAAATAACGATTGGCTATGGATGGGAACAATCATCATTTCACCGAATATGAATACTTTCCACACCATAACTGAACCAGAACCAAATCATCATTCAAATGCATGATGGTGGAGGAAAATATGAAAACGCATTAACAACTGAACTGACATAAAAGTTACCAAACTCAGAAAGTGCGATGGTTGAAAGGACAGCGAGTAAGATGTCTTAAAAATGAAGTCTTTTCTGAAAGCGGAGAAAAAAAAATCTAAAATCATATTACAAAGAAACCAAATACTCAAATGAGGCTGGATCAAGTTCACACCGAATCAACTTTCCCTATTTGGTGTGTTCCACTGATGGTGATTGAGATGCACAACAAATGTCCCCAGAGGAGTTAGTCATACCCACCGAAGGCCCAGAAATCACAGGAGTCATATACCAAATGACATATATTATGGGTGCTAATGGATAAGGACTACCACATCTACATGTTAAGCATTGTCGCAAATGAAAGTGAAGAGGACAAAGGTTTCAAATGTTTCATCCAAGATAAGATTATTCAAACTCCTTAAACAACACAACCAGAAGTTAGAGAACATATTAAAGGATAAACAATCATGCATGCGAGACCTTAATGATATACGCACCTCACCTTATGACTACCAGGAGCACAATGCTGGCAATTAAAAAGAATTTTGGCTTCTCAAGTTGGAATACATTTCCTCGTACCGGATGCCCTGCAGAACAAGTGAATTGACACATTTTTTTACTAAATATGGCAAGTGTAATCTCAATATATAGATCCCGTTAATATTGACAAACCATTTCAATGGCCAATCATACCATTATATATGACCATCACACTGGCAAACCACTTGCCTCTGCCAGGGTGCAGAACATTAAATGACTTCAAAAGTAGAACTGTCCTAAGGACCTCAAATATAATGATGTATAAGTTTTGGTTCATCTCCTGATAAAATTTTACCCAAGCATCCAGCCACAAATCAGAGGACACAATTTCGAATCAGATATGGCATGCCAGACCATTTGTGTAAATTACAGACAATTGAATTACTGGGTGCTACAGTTTTCTCTCATTTGCTTTCATGTAGCACCACCTATACCTCGATTTGCAATGACATCAATCGAAATGAGGAGCCTAAAGGCCCTAAACTGAAAAAAAATCAAGCATCGTAACTTAATTCTACCACCAAGCAGCACAAGTTGAGACCATGAATGATATTAGGATTTACGACTGACATAGATTAACAGATTTAATCTTGAACTGGACAAACAAATTGTTGGTTTGCATAGATCATCAACTGATTCAGCTGGCAGATCAACCTTTAATACACGGGCATATAAATGCTGGGAAGTCAGGATTATAAGACAAAAAAAGCAGAGTCATGACAAAAACTTACACTGAAAGCTCTGAACAAACTTTGTTCACCTTATGCGCAAACTACTGAGGAAGTCCGAAAGCCTGCATATACCGTAATTTCAGTGAGTGGAGAACAAGCAAAAGTAACAGATAATGAAGGAAAATATATAAGACTGGTGATAAAATTTAAATAATAAAAAAGGCAAGACGGAACGAAAAGAGAAGGCAAAAAAAAAGACCTAATATTTTTAGAAATCACTGAATGTCCATCTTCAGCCGCAAGATGTCGCAAAACTACTTCTTCCAGGCGGCCATCACGATATGCGTGCTGTTATAATGTAACATCAATGTACACGAACATAAAAGACACTAATCTCATTCAAAAACAGCATACAAACGAAAACGAAAATTAACAAGTGCAGAGGGAAACAATTTCATATTGGAAAAGCAAGAATCTAGTATGTACACGTAATGAAACACAGTTGGACATCAAAACTGGTAGAGAGAAGAAAGAATAAGTTGGGCATCATTACACTTCTTTAGCTATGAACAACGTAACAGGAAGACCACTATGGTGGACCATTCTGCATTAGCAACCACTATTAAGCAATGAACCATTCCAGTAGATACAAGAAGGATTCTAAAGTAGAAATCTTACCTAAGCATATTGGCATGAACACCTGGATCAACATCACACCAAAAAAGAAACAAAACTTCACTGATTTTATTAATTTATTTTTTACCCAAACTATTTGCATGATTTAGATGGTTATCAGTAGAGAAAATAAATCCTCAACCTTCGCAAATAAGCTTCGGGCTTGATTATTATTAGTGTCTTGACATAGAAAATTATATACATGAGTAAAAAAACCTACAAAGTTTCAATGTTTTTCCCTAAATCCAAAGTGTTGTGAGCTGTCAAAGATCCAGTCATTTTGACAACTGGATAAAAAAACATGACATGTATTTCCTCATTAGTCGTACCAAAACCCAGATGCAGTAGTAAAAATCCATCTCCTCTGTTACTGAAAATTCAATATTAAATCCACTGTACTGTAACCTCTGTTACATGGACTCTTCAAAAGTAGTGAAGTACCTATGTCGGACACGTATCCCTCGGACATGGGTATGGGATATGTGTCCGACACTTTTAGTTGGACATGTACTTAAAAAACATATCCTATCATTTAATTACATTATATTATTACTTTAAAATGAGTTAAATGCCTATATTGAACATTATATTGATAAAAACATTACTTTACTCTAGAAAATAAAATAAAATAATTAATAAAATGAATATTTAGCCGTGTCCACGTGTCTTTCTGTTTAAAGATTTGACACTTCCGACGCATGAATACATACCCGTGTCCGACACCCGTACCCGAGTCCATGTAACATCTGTAACTCTCCAATTCTTCTACTCCTAGTGTGCGGGGTCTATAAAAAAGCTCAAACAAAACAAGTATGGCATAATATTCACCACATTGGAGCTGTACTCCATGCATCCTAGAGAGAGCACTGGACAACATATATGGCACATGGAGTAGTATTTCATAGGAATGAGCCTGGCTTGACAATGTGCTGGAACACACAATATATTATCCACTTAACAAATTAAAATGTTAATAAACTCTCAGACTAAAGTAAATGAATCACATGCTATTGGTGCATAATTTTAAAGAGTATACAAGCAAGGACACTCCAACATCATTTCCCCATCATTCCATACCACTGAGTGACGAGAGAAACAAGAAGGATGCACCATAATCCTTGAATACAGAGATCAAGAACGAAAAGAAACCACATATACATCTATAAAACTAGCACATGAGAGAGAGAGAGACAGAGACAGAGACATGAGACAATTTGCTAGAAAGCAAGAAGCGTGTAGTGTAGTGGGAGTGAAGCTAAATTCTCCAAGATACATCACAATTTTTACACTGTTCCACACGCTTCTATGCAGGGGTGTGTTTGTGTATTTCTCTCTGTCTGTCTGTCTGTCTGTCTCTTTATATATACACAAGTTACTTGCATTACGTCTGGAGGGGTTCCTTCCCAAGTATACTGTCCTCTGGTCCTGGATCACTTTTCTCCAGCTTCTCTGGTCCGCTCCTGGGTGTAAAGCAGTCCAGGACTCCAGCCTCCTCCTGCCTGGTTTATCTCTAAAAATAAAATAGTTGGCATACTAATAACCAGTATGTTTATTATAACCTCTAGTCCTCTACACCCCAGCATCCCTTCATTTGATTTATCTCTAAAAATAAAATAGTGAGCACACAAATGCCTACTGGGTATTCCATAATCTCACCAGTATGGTTATTATCTATAGAAGTTTCAAACGCGCATGGCGGGAGACCTTCACTAACCCAGCAGTGTGCAGTGCTTGATACTGAGTTTATCTCATGTCTACCAGCACCTTATCACACTACAAAAGACCCTGACAGCACCTTATCAAATAACCAACAGAATATGACTGCCCCAATACACACATCACATGCACATATACACAACTCCCAGACCAACCATTCCGAACACAATTAACCATTACAATTCCATACCATTTTATCCGACTTGATTGCAATTCACGAGGATTCACAACGCCAAAACACAATGGTCTGACCACAGTCAAGACCTACAAGCATCACACAAACTCCATAACGATAATTGTGCAGTCCCAATCACCTCTCAACAAATTATACCATGGACATACTCTTCCCCACTGCAACAGAATCCATGTTGTGGGACTTATTCCCCCCAGCTCAACTTTTTCCCTAGACCCAATCTCCTTCAAATGGTCATCAAAGGGTTGACATCCCAAAGGAAGATCTGATCCCTTCCACCAATTAGATCATGTTCCCATAGACGGTAGACCCCATCTCCCTTGTAGCACACCCACCAAGACTTTTAAACAATGCAGTAACCTCAATGCATGCCTAATCTCCCTCAAAGAAATCACCCAATTGGGCTTTTCCATTCACATAGATCATTGCGGATACAGGTTCCCTATGAGAGTTACCCACTAGGAATCTTCCTTCATGGGGTCACCACATCTAGGCCATCTTCCACATGAAATTATCCCGTTTGGAATCAGGGTCACCACCTCATGGTAAGGGAATTGTCAAAGGAGGCCCCCGCTTGGATATCTTCCCTTGTATGATTCTGAATTAGGAAGTTGCAACAAAGGAGTTGACATCCCAGAGAGTCCTGCAAAGTGCAGACATCTTCTCTAGTCAAGTCAGCTCACCCCAGTCCATATTCCCTTTACATTGAGAGTCATCGCCTTCTTGTGTGCTCAAACCTATTTCGTCACGATTTGATTGCCACACCCGAGTCACCTACACATTTCACAAGCCACGTCGCCCAATTGGGTCCCTTGGAGCCTAACCCAGACCACACACATGTTCCCAAGGACCCCATGTCCGCATTACGATATAATATGGTTATGAGGACCCCAATACACAAGCGCTCAACACGGTCCCAAAGATCCCAACTTACACCTACGTTGCACGGACTCAGGTACGTGTCTTGGGTCCGGGTATGTGTACAAGTGTCCGACATGTCAAATCTCCAAACTAAAGGACATAGGAACACATGTAAATATACATATTATATAATATATTCACTTTATTTTCAAGTGTACAATAATGTAATATAGGCAGTTCACTTGTTTTGAAGCAAGTATAATAAAATTGAATAATTCAATATGCATTGTAGGTGCATGTACAACCAAGTGTCGAACACATGTCCCATTCTCGTGTTCAAGTTTTGTGTAACTGGCATGGATACTTCACCTACTTTTGAAAAGTCCATGTAACATAGACCTGCACCATCACTACAAAATACAATTACAACACCTCTGACCAATACACAACATCCACCACAAATACTAAAGAGTATGTCAACACATCATTTTCGCACATCTCTAAAACATCAAAGACAATTAAACATGCTACCACATCATAAAAATCAAACCACGTGCATTACAGAAATCCTAACTAAAACCCTACAATACCTCACAAGACCAATATTTTATCTAAACCCCAATCCATCAATTTAGTAACTCCCTGACTCCTAATCCTGCATATCAATTTTGTTAACAATTTCCCTAACATCGATCAGTTCATAATCACCATAACTACAAATAATCATCTCATCATTCAAGCATTATAAACTCAAAGCAAAAGATCATTACAACTACTAAAACATACAATCATCCCTCAGTGCTCTTGCATAATTAGGAATGACAAAATAACCCACCCCACCATGCTCCATTTGGGAAGGTTTAGGGGATGCCTAATAGGGTTTGGGTGGGAATGGCAGGAGGGATTAAAAACTTGCATGAACTAGGGGCGAGGACAAGGAAAGGTCCCCCCGCCCCGTCCGGCACCATTTATTCTACAAATTACCATAATACTCCATTACTTTATTAAAAAATATACTATTTGAGTTTCATTTTGCATATATTAATTGAATATCTTGATTCTCTTATGTTAATTTCTCATATTGATTTTTCTCTCATTAATAATTTTAAGAGAACAAGAAAATAATTTTTTAAGGAAAAATAACTCTTAACTTTAAGCATATAATTTATTAAAGCCCCAACTTGGAGTGAACTAAGGTGGGGGTGGGGGAGGGTGGGGGAATTTAAATAGGGACGGGAATGGGGGATGGAGGTTCTCAGCTAAACGGTTTTGGGTGCGGATGGGGGCTGCTAAGCTAAATGGGGACGGGGCCTCAACCAGTTGCAATACCTATGCATAATCCAACATTAAACTCATCTTGATGCATGTAACACAAATACCATTGGGTATACCTGATTTTGGAGTCAAATTGAGAATGAAATCGTATCTGGGAATATCACCAAAGCAATGTGAGGAATACAGAAGAGGGGTTGAGGGAGAGAAAATCAGCCCAATCTGAGAAACGAAACGATGGTAGGGAAGAGCCCAATTCTGGAATGCTGTCAGAGCCCTCTAAAATTCTCCACTCTATCGTCTTTGTCAGCCACCTTTTTTATAGCCCTAGGTCATCCAGGTTGTACTCATTGGGCCTCCGGATCGAGTGAGTCAGAGCGCATGTCTTTTTAGGGATCATGATGCCCTAATCCCGACTTTCCCAGATCTGCTGCCAGGTGTACGTACCCTCCTTGAATGTTCTAGATAAAGGGTGGCTGTAAGGGTCTCTGAGCTTGCTCCAGGCTGTCTTTTGCTTTTTTCCTCAAATGGAATCTTTGCAAGACTTAGAGCTGATTTTCCATCCTTCATTCCAAAATCCCTTCGGCGTTCCCCGTGGCTTTAAAAAGTCCTACCACTACTCTTCATTGTTGGTTTCATCGATCGACGGGCCATGCCTTGGTCGGATCAAGGTTCTAGGCCTATCGATCGACAATTTGTTTTTGCTCTGTGGGCCTATCGTCCAGCTTCTAGCGCTGAGCTGGCCAGAGCCCTTGTATATCGACCAAGTGTTGATACATTTGTCTTGTTCCTACTTGTGGTCAACATGCTTTGATTATATAGCTTACGTGGCATAACCCACATCCACAACCATTTATGTATATTACTTAGCCAACCTACCCTCACTACGTTTTCTCTGATGAACACAACACAATTAAGATTTTAGAATTAGTTGAGGGAGTAAGTTATGGAACACTACCTCGCTTCTGTTGAGTTTCCGTATATTGATCACTCTCTTTAGGCATCGTGTTTGCACGCTATAACGTCTTCCTCTCTCCTTTCTTGCATCCTACAGCGTCTCCACATCCCCAGCACTTTTCATATCTCCCTTCCTCTCCCCTTCACTCCCACCCCACCCCTACTTATAGAGTGGGTGCATGCCATAGTGTCGCATTGGCGTACCATGCATCCTGATTTTTTCCCCACTTCAATAGTTTGTTAGGTCAAACATTAATGTCATTGACGTTGATGAAAAGGTGTATGTGGAGGACTTTTAGAGTCCGGTGACTATGTGACGTAGAACAAATAGCACTCTGATACCAATTGATGCACGGCGAATAATGTTTAGATACCAACCAGAAAGAAAGAAGGGGGATGAGGATGAGAAGAGGAGATGAGACTAGATGAAAGAGGTGAGAAAACAGACGAAGGGGATGAGAACCTAATCACTTACCTATATCATGATTTTTATATTACAATGGCGGTTGACGGCAGTTGTTTTGGGTTTTTCCAGAGCTTTAGTGTTCCAAGACAATGTGACCTGCTTTCTCATTGATTTCTATTGTTGTTAATGAAGTTTTTAGTATTATAGACGAAAGGTCAATGAAAACATGGTTGATAATTTAGTAATTGAGGGAGAATATGGAGACGGGTAAGTGATTAGGTTCTCATGGGAATTTATCTTGAGCAGATATTTCCCACACTGCATCAGTGTTCCAAAGAAAGAAATTTTCAGAAGAGATACAAGCAACTTTTGAGCTGACGTCAGGTATGCCAGACTTCTTAATCTTTTCATGACAAGTCTAAATCATTATCTTGCAATAACAATCTTATCACGGAATGACATAGTATGGTTTCCCCAACACATGGGGAATTGTAAGATTAGGAGGATGTATAAAGGTTGCATTTGAAATCATTTCCGGGAAGATGAGGACAAAATACTTCCAAGACATTTATACAGTACCAATTTATAGATCCAATCAACTTATCAAAAATAAATAAATAAATTTATAGATCCAGTCAAATAAAGGTTGACTGTAAAATCCCACAGTATAGGGGAATTCAAAAGATTAAGTAGTTTATAGAGGAATTCAAAATATTAAGTAGTTTATAGAGAATGTTAAGGTCATGTTATTATATGGTTCAGTTAAACCACGAAGGAACCAATGCAGCCCTTTGTGGTTGGCAGAGATGTCTATTCTAGAAGAGCTCACAGTGAGATAACCTTCCATCCAAGATAAGTTCCGTATGATTGCAATGGACAAAGTTCTTATTTTATTATTTTTATTGTTTGATTACCACATATGTGCGATCCAAATAGCTGTCTCATGCAATGTAGATGCTGAGAGCGATATTCTTTAGCTAGGACCATTGGGTCTTATACCAGATTTCATGGCCTCGGTGATGATGAGAGTACATAAAGGATAAATGCTTTCAATAAATCTCTTTCTATAATATGGCATATCTGGAAAGAATGTAACAGATAACATTCTAAAAAGGAACCGACACTCTACTCTTTTTTTCTGTAGGGAAGTACTAACAATATCTTGAACAAAACATTTCACCCCTTACTACCCCCCCCCCCCCCCCCCCCCCCCCCCGACCCAAAAAAAAAAAAAAAAAACACCCCCCACCAAACACACACAAAACTAATAATTTCTAAATCCTTCAAAGGAGGAAGAGGAAGAGGAGGAGAAGGAGGAGGAGGAGAGAGAGAGGGGAGGGGGGAAACAAAAGCCGAAGCTATAAAGAGGTGCTATTACTAGTTTATGGCATACAATTAAGCAAAAGAGAGCGAGCTATGAATAGTAACATATTGCAAGGAAAAAATGAAAAACAGGAACCTGTACAATGGAGAACTGAGCAGCTCAAAAATTGATTTACCTTGTAAAAACAACTAGTCCCAAATGGGCAAGTCCCATTTCCGAAGTCAAAGTGCTTGCAATCAATAGAGCTGCAACAGAAAAGGTTGTTTAGTTCTTTAGTTATATCCACTATGCTTTCATGAAAGCATAAAGATTGTTTCAGTATACATATACATTGGTACATAAGTTTGTGCTAGTTAATTTAAAACATATGCATTAACCCCCTACACAAATATGAGCATGAGATGTACAAAAACAAAGTTATACACATACAACTCTTATCATAAGGTTTATTATCTCTAAAAGCCACAATACAAACCCCTTTAAACAATGTGTGCACATATTCAGCTCAACTCACGACTGATAATCTGACTGTAGAAATGAAAGTCTTAATCAAAGAAATCCACTGAATACCAAATCCCATATTAGCCATCACAGCCCCCAAATAGTCCCACTCCCCTTTTTTTAACTATTTAAGGCTTACTACAGGGATACTTTTTCGCTATTTGGCTGTACGACCTCCTTCACTTCTGTCATCAAAATTTTCTTCTCTCCCCACTTCTTTTCTTCCTGGCTTTTCTAATCCAACTCTCCACTAATTCCGTAAGAGACCTTAGCATCACCCATAAAATATCTGCTAGAACCTCTTAATCATAAGAAAGATGAAAGTGAACAGTAGATCAAAAGGTGATTTACATGCTCCCCATTCAACTACTGAACTGCACTCCAAACTGCAATGGTCTAGTTACATTAGAACAGTTCATCATGACAATATCTGAAATTACCAATCAGACAGTGACAAGATCTTTCAGGGGATGAAAAATTTCTGTGTAAGATTCACACTATAGAATGCTCCCTGTTCTCCATCTTATCTGTACCACAAAACAAAACAATCTATCCAAAACTGTCTTGGACCTACCCCTTTCTATTCTTGCATCCTATGCTCAAAGGCATGCTGTTTCTTGTTCCAACAACCTTCAGAAGAATACACTGCATGATCCTAACTATGTCCTTGCAGGACAGATTACAAACTATTCTCTTCAAATCAAGATCAGTTACACATCAGAGCTTTACCATCCACACCAACTCTGTAAAGCATAATTAATATTGCACACAAACATGTCTGTGCACCTGCATGTACAAGTGTGCTCAGGGGCTTAGACGAAACCATTAAACACCAAAACCGGTAAGCCACAGTGAACTACCCCCCTTCCCTCCTCTTCATTGCTACACAAAGACTACTTAATGCCGCCACTCAATTGATGAAAGATTGTGCAGAATACATGACATTACAACTCTTTCTCCATCCATGTCCTTCATCAACTTCCCGTAAATTTTAATCAGGCATATCATCCAACTTCTTATCAACAAATATCACCATTTCTAGCTCCAACCATGAAAATTTCATGACAAAGCCTCCTTGATTCCTTCAGATGCAGACAACTACGAAAATTTATCCACAATCGGCAATAAAACAATAACATATACATACTCCCAATGAAGAGATGAGGCAAGAGACAAACTGAGTGGTACAACTGTATTACAATGCATGGAGTCATCGGTCCTAAAAACATAATTATCCTCACAATGGAAACCTGGCTCAAGTGGAACCTCAAGATCCTATGATTCTACTGGACAACTTTTCCAACTTGAATAAATGAACTAACAAAAAGCATATCATAAAATTAATGTTATAACCAAATGAAACAGAAGTCAAATTATAATACCTAAGTCTTGCTTTGTAGCTGTCAACAATTTCCTCCTTTTCTTCTTTTGTCGAATACCAAATGACACTAGGAATGACATAGTATGAAAGCTTTCGACATATTGGGCAGGCCCTCAATGCAGAATTGACATCCATGCCAGAGGTTGGAGAGCTACTACGCCAATTCCTGATACATGATATACAGAATGGATGATCACACTCTGATAGCAATCCAAACTTTCGTTCAGCTGCTGTGGGCTTTGAAAGAACACGTTCAAGGCACACGCTGCATTCTATTTCTTGGCTAAGTTTTAATGCCTCCAGGTACTTCTGCTTTTTCTCACATGCTTTTTTGTGTTCCTCTCGCTCCTCAGGTCTGAAAGGGTGCAAACAATGTTTACCACAAGTTGGACATAAATCCCCATGAACATGAGGGCACTTTTCCCCACGGGGACAATTACCAGCAGCAGCAAATGAACAGATTGAATGGTCAGCTGGATTAACCCTCCTCAACTCAATAACATCATCATTGTCTAACAGATCATGATGCTCAGACTTTTGACTCCATGCAGGGTTAGAGGGAGGAAAGAAAGGTCTACTTGAAGCTGAAAGCTCAGCCGTAACACCTGGGACTGGAGTTATGGTCACCCCACTTGATGCAGTTCTAGAAGGATAAGCTGCAGGTACAGACTCCACAAACTGATGTTGGCAAGAATTCGTAGATGATGAAGGAGCAGAATACTGTGACCGCGAAGAGGCTTTCACGTGCTCATATCTGCATCGACTGCCAAAAGTGCAAACTCCTTTCTGGTAGAAGGTGCATATCTGCAATGACAGACCAAGCAGAAGCTATAAACCGGAAATCGAGCCAGTGAAATCAATTTGGATAACTATCAAAGCAAGTAATAGAAATTTTACATTATTTGATGGATCCTTCCAGTCATGTGAAAATTCACAATGGTCCCCTTTTAGACATGCTCCATGTGCAAAGAACTTGCAAAGAACCCTGGAGGAACCAAAAAAGGGTGAAATTATTAAGAAATTGCCAAAAGACTGACCAAATAAGCTTGTGAAATTTGGTTATCAGTGACAACTTGTGGATTATAATTATGAAAATGATTTTTTTCCCACATTTAAAAACCTCAAGAGTACAGTTCATAAAGTAACAATTGGGTGCATAAGAATTCCATAAAAGTGCATGCTTCATGAAAACTAAAAACCACTACAGTTTTATACATAACCAGCATGAACTGCACACATCAATCTGAGAGGTCTCTTTAATTTTATTAAATTCTAACATTTCAATCCAAAGATTGTCTGAATTCTTTCCTTCGTTTCTCACAAGCGTTTTGATGGGCTTCGCTCAACCAGATAATCTATGCAGTGTGGCATCAATAACTAAAATAGCTACGTTACATCAAATTAGAATTACAGAGACAAAACATGTATTGATACATTCAAGCTGTAATATTTGAAAATGTAATTATAAAATGCATGCCAAAAGAATCTCCATTGGTATTTTAACAAGGTGTGCAACTTAGTCAAACTGAGAAAATGAATTTCGCTGGCTTTTAGTTCTGGGTTAGAATGGTCGGTAACCCAAATCAAATAAAGGATCCACCTATAAAGTTACAAAATCATAATACACAATCGCATTTCATTCCACATTTAATGATATAATGATTAATAGGAATTACGGAACACACTAATTGTTTAGTGTACCACTATAGACGAGGTTCTCCATGCAATCCATGACTTTATCAAATGGAGTGGACAACTGAGCAATAACATATAAAAGTTAAATGCTGTGCCATTCACTGACGGAGGATTTCTAGATGAGAATGTGTGAGGTCACAAGAACCTCAAATTGTATGACTACTATACTTTGAACTTTGAAGTAGTGGAATAATTGTCCCACATTGATAGAGCAACAGCCCCAACCTCCCTCTTCTATAAAAGTAGGAAACCCCCTTGATTTTAGTTTTAATGTGGGCAAAAGAAAACTGATCTTCTTAGAAGGGCTTGCACACTATATTAGCAAGTTTGGAAGTATAATACATCCAAAGTTGTTGCCAACCAAAACCAGAATTGAACCAACCAATGCATTGATCCAGTTTTAGGTTGAGATTTTCTTAAACCAACTTAGTCTGGCCTACTCTTAGGGTTGGAACCCAATCCGATTTGCAACCCCAATTTTAACCACAGATTAGCTTGGATAGTAGCATGAGAAAATCTAAACAAGCATGTTGATGATGTCGCCATCACTTAAAATGCATCTAACCCGTTTCTTCAAATACTCAGAAACAAAGCCGCATGTTAAAATATTTCAGAAGCCCTTCAACCTTTGATGGTCCATTTCATATGTAAAAACTTAAAAGAAATGGGAGAGATGGAAAAAAATAAAAAAAGAAAAAAAACCAGGAAAAGGAAGCTGCCTCCTCCTCCTATTGTTTAATTTGATAGGGAGGAAACAGGTGTTGCCTGTCTATCATCCCCTTATATTAAAGGAGGGTTATTGTTAACGAGGCATAAACCTTAAAAAAATGGATTTTTTTCCTTTACCCTTTTTGTTTCCACCCACTTTTGGGCAAAAACAATACTTCAGGCCTATAGGATAAGTAAATTCTTCATATTTTCCCAAATGGATCTCTATTTACCCTTACCTTTTCCTTCCTCCCACCCACCCCCCCCCCCCCCCCCCCCCCAAACAGACCATTATTGCGTTTTATAGTTTTGAAATCAGTCGAAAAGTTCACTAATTCTATTACGTAAACATCAAAGAGTTTCATGTAGCGGGCCTCAATAGGGATGAGAGACAATAAACATGCATATCAGCCCACTACAGGTACATTGATTCCTCTACAACCTGCAACAGTCCATGATGGCGTACACCAATGTGATGTCAGCATGTGATTATAAGGTCCACTCATAAAACCTGTTTTAACTTTTCTTTTATTGCCTGTTTAGCCCACTTCACACATTCCGCATTAAAATAAAACAAATTCAACATACTCCAAAAAAAATTGCTCCTGATATGAAGCATCACCAATAGCACAACTCCTCAAAAGGCAGTGATTCCTCTACCAACATGCAATCTCACTCCACAATCTATTCTAATCAAAACCATGGGAAACCCCCAATTGACACGTATAACCTGCACTTTATCAAAAGTGACTAGCAGATCGGGTCGTGCTTCGTGTTAGATTCTATAGCGACAAGGTTATAGTTTCAATTGGGCCTAGAAAGTGAATTGGTCTTCTTTTGCTTTTTGCTCTCTCCTCCTTCCCTTTTGTTCTAACCAGATTAGACTTCTGTGATGGTTCATGCGAATGCTCACCATTCTTCATTCAGGATTTCATGCAAGAAAATGCCCATGAAAGAGCTAAGGTGAACTGCGTCAGTAGGACACTTTTTGTTTGTGGGGCTTCATTGGAGGATAGATGCTGTGCAGTTGGATTGGACTGCCAATCTGCCAGATCCAGTTTTCAAGTTCTCTGGGTAGCTTATTTGTCAAGGCTATTAACTTGTGTGGAGTTATATGGTGCCAAAGAAACAGCTAAGGTGTGAGCCTTCCACTGGTTCATCAATTGCAAGAGTTAAGGATTGGAGACGATCATAAATTTAATATGCTGATCAGTCACATCTCTCACTTGTTTGCAAGATTGGGATACAAACATAGACAAGGGCGCAGTAAGGGTGCGTTTAGTCAGGTGACTGCTTCCTGTTCAATCAGACATAGTATGTCTCAAATGCCAAGACATGCTTGGGATTTGAAATGTAGCAGGTTTCTTTACCGCCCATACTCTTGAAGCATGTTAGTTCTGTTTTGCATACATCTCTTTTTGGCAGGCTGTTTTGAATTGATATAAAACTGATATTGCAAGGGCAAAATTCATCTCTGGAAATTCCAAATTACTGAAGGCAACAAAACCATTATTAAAACACTGTTAACTATTAAGAAAGGGGAGATTCAGTTACAAAACTACTCATGTCTGGGCAAATCACTCTAATGTTTCACTTATAAATAAAATAAAATTACTCTAATGTTTCAAACAAGAGAGAAGTTTTTTTTTTTTTTTTCACAAGTAGAAAAGGTTCATATATTTACGGCAAACCTCAAGAGAGGTCACTGTGATTTATTCTAAATAATAATATTAACTTGATTAAGTGTAATTTTTTTTGTTTCCTCGCATCCTAAACAATATATGTATAAAATCCAAAACCCTGAATTTTTCTCTTTTCCATACATTTCTCAGTTAAAAATTAGAGCCTATAACAAAGTAACCTGAAATAGGAATACCTGATGCAGTTTATGCTGCAAAGTTTTTCCAATCTAAAGTTCAAATCCCAAATTGATATGCATAAACAAATGCCTCAAATCCTTCCATCATTCGGGGAAAAAAAAAAAAATGATTTCCAAACAATTCTTCTCAAACTTGTATTCATTAATTATTCCTATATATGCATAACAATACTGCAATTCAAAGTATCACAAAACACAAAACTGACAGATATTCCGTACATGTTTTGGATTATATATATATACACACACACTGTGGATGTGGACAATTGCAAATTACAACCATATATGAAAAATACATAAATCTGTGCAGTTCACCAGCTAATTGGATCAAAAAAAGAAATAAATGCAAAAGAAGCAACAATACATAAAAATAATGGAATTCCAAGAATTGTATAGCACAAAACTAACAGATGTTACGTACAGCTTTCGATTACACACATCTATATCAATATATATTGCAAATATGGACAATTGCAAATTACAACCCTAAATCAAAAAAGGAAAAAATTTGTGGGAGTTCATCAGCTAAATGGATCAAAGAAAGCAAGAAATGCACATGTATTGAAAAGAAATGAACATGTATTACCGTTTTGACATGGTTCTTCGGGCGAGAGAAACCCTAAAAACTCTGACCGGGGATCAATGGGGATGCTAAAAAGTCAAGCCAGGTTCAAACGGTGTCGCAGCACATGGGAAAAAAAAATGGAATCGTGGTCTATCTGCGTGTTTCGGCGGTTGGTATGATGGCAAGTGTACTGGAATTGCCCAATATTGAATGGCCATCGGATTCTGATTTATTTGCAAAAATGCCTCTCATTACATGAAACGGCGTGCGGGAATTGGTAGGTATCCGTACGAAATTTTAATTAAGTTGTCTTGTGGATAGATAATATTTTTAGGGCAACCAAAGCTTCTACTATATTTTTTACTTTCAATTTTTTTTTTCTTTATTTTTAGAAATGATTCCAAAAAAATAAAGAGTACCATAAATAAAAAAAATAAAAAATTAGGGAGTTCAATTTGGGATGGGCAATCCAAGCCCAGTCCATATTTTTTTTTTTTTACAATCATTTTAACAATTAGGATTGGATCTGAATTAAAAATTTTCAACCCCGAACTTTATTAAGCAACTCAAGCTCAACCCCAACCCGAATTCTAATATTATATATATATTATAAATAAGTATATATAATATTCAAATTATTATGATCATTTTTTTCCTTTTCAACTTCCATTGTTAAATCTTAATTTATGATAACATTTAGAAGAATTAATTTTATAAGAATTTGTTTGTAATTTATTAAAAAGTTACAATAAGTTCTTAAAACTTTTTTTGTTTAAGAGTAATTTAATCCTAAACTAATTCAAGATCACATAAAATTTTCAGTGTAGAAATTGGCCATATGAGTAACCCGAATTTCTAACTCGAAATCTAAGCCCGAGTTGCAAACTCAAGTTTAAAAGTAAAAGGATGGGTTGGGCCCGGATTGAGTATTTAGGGTTAAAGATAAGGTTATGTTTTGGCTTGGGTTAAAATGTTGGATTAGGCTCAAGCTGTACCTCAAACCAGCATCACCCACCCAAGTTGCAGCCCTAAACAAAACACAAGGTATCCCACCGAAAACATCAACTTGGTGGAAGCCCTGGGATTTTGTTTTTTTTAAGGCTACTCTTCGCTTAGCGAATCTCAATCCAATTGTTAAATAAGAAGTTAGCGTATGTTCTCACAAGGGCGCTTATTACTCGATAAATTACATTGACTCCTCATGAGATTTAACCTTATTACAAATAGATGGCAAGTCATACTTTCTCAAGCCTTGAGAGCTCTTATAATGTGCAAATAAACTTGCTCACAAACATACTTTATCTCAAAAGCAAGAATACAGCAGAATATAGCACAATATGAACTTCAGCAGCAATGAGTACTCAAAATCATGGTTTAGCACATCAAAAATAACTGCAGGTGTGTGGTAAGGAACATACTGTGATACCCCTTGACTTCAAGACATGGGTTGATCAGGCCCAATCCCAAACCCGAAGGAATATCAAACAATTAATGTATTTAACAAGCATAGAATACAAAATGGATTTAAAAATAAAGAATAATAGCTGAAAAAAACTATATAATAAAATCTCTATTAATTAATCCAATAATAAACCTTTAATGACTAAATCCTCTGATATCGGTAATTAATTACAATGACAACTTGGGAATCCATCATGTGGACCCCTATTCCAAAATTCAACTGAAATAAAATAATATCTGACTAAAACAATAATAAAGAAATCCTACGTTAAGACGGAGGTGTGAATAAATCATCTCTGCTCAGCATTAACAATCCCTAAGCCTGGAGCTGATGAACACCTGAAAAATAATGGTGGGTCAGGCCACAAACAAGTTTTAATCTACTATATCCCAAACAGAGACTTAGAAGTCATATACATCCTAGTCAATCCAACAATAACTACATAGTCCGTATATATATATAGATACACACTAAAGGAACCTCACTAGACTATAGGGTTGTCTCAACCTGAATAGTAGGCAACATGCGAAACAACATATAGTGGCTATGAGTACCTAGATCTACAGGGTACACAAATACACTATATCTAGCTACACATCCCTGACTATATACGCACCCTAACCATGATCCTGAGACTCAAGCTCATATCATGACATATAACTATTTATATATAATTCGTCCTATCCAAACATAAAATAAATATCCAGTATGTCATCGAATTGATTCAGTTGACCTGCCATTAAAATATGTAGGATTTAACAGTTTAATTAATCCATTCCGCTATACATGAATAGGCAGGACTTAACGTTTTTAATTAATCTGTCCCTACTATACCACCATCCCATACTGGTGCATATAATGCATACAATCCATAAATAATGTTACAATTATAATATCACATCAAATAAATCCATACATAGCATGATATAAATCATACAGATATTCCTTTGCATTTAATTGAGCAAAATATAACAATTCTAAGTAGCATGTATTGAATTTATCTCATAAAAATTAACATGCATCTCAAATAATTGTACTCCTCCACAATCTAATCAAATTTATTTAAAACCAAATAATTGATTAAAATAATTTAATACAACCATGTTTAATTAATTTAACCTTTTAAATTAATTAAATTCCATACTTAACATGTGTACTTAAATCATGTTTTTAAAATCCTCCAAAAATCTAATTTAACAATTTAAAATCATTAAAACAGATTTAATAATAGTTCAACCTCCCAGAACGTCCCAATAATTCCACCTCAGTTCATAAACATTATTTAAACATTGTAGAACATACATCATACATCAATTCGTCCAAATTACCAAGTATATACACAAACCCATTACATATATACATACACTGTAATTTCAGTTTTAATCATGCAATTAGGTTCAATTAATTTAATTAAATAATCCGGTAACTAATCTAGCATGTATATAATCTGAATCAAAGGAGAAAAGAAGAAAAGAGCTTGCCTTAAGGATTTTGATCAAAACTCTAACCTCCTTCTTCCTCTTTTACTTCTTTCTCTCTCTAAACTCTCTGCATTTTTCCTCCAAAATATGCTACATGATTTAATTTCTAGCCCCCTTTTAATAACCTATATTTATATATTTATCGGCTAAATAAAATAACCTAATCATTTTCCGAATCCAAGTCAACTTAATAAAAGAAAAATAATAAAATTAAATTATTAAAAAGGTAACTAAAAATATATTACGTACATAATCTATGTATATTCTTATTACACAAATACATAAAATATATACATCAGATTATTAATACTAAGTTATAATAATATTAGTTACTTTCCTTATATATATATATATATATAACTATTAATTACTTTCCTTTTATATATATAAAACTATCCATGGGTAATTAAAAAATATGTTACGTATATAATTTATGTATATCCTTATTATACAAATATAAAAATATATACATTAGATTATTAATACTAAGTTACAATAATATTAATTAATTAATTACTTTCCTTTTATATATATATCTATATATATAAAACTATCCATGGGTAACTAAAAATATGTTACGTATATAATCGATGTATATCCTTATTATACAAATATAAAAATATATACATCGGATTATTAATACTAAGTCACAATAATATTAATTAATAAATTACTTTCCTTATATATATATATATATATATATATATATATATATATAGATATAACTATTAATGGGTAAATATCCTTACCTATTAAACCTTCTATCCAAGTAATCCATGTGATCCAATTGGTTGGTTCATTATTACTAACCATATCCATAAAATAAAATAAAATAAATATTTAATTATTTAATCTACAATTAATTACAAATAAATAAAACACATCAATTAAATCAACTAATTCAAATAACATTCAAGTACATACTTTCAATTAATCAGTTAAGTCAAATAAAACATTTAAGCAAATAAAATACTTAATTAATCAATTCAATTAAACACGTAATCAAATAGCCAAATAATCAAGTAAATAAATAAAAATACAATTAAAACATTTAAAATAATACCGAGACTATCCTTTTAAAATTAGGGGTATTACATTCTTCCCCCTTAACAAAATGAATTCCGTCCTCGGAATTCGCCATTACCTTCATCCATTATTTTTAAAACTGTGGAGCGAATGACATCCTCCCGTTCCCAAGTAGATTCGACCTCATTATGCTGGCTCCACTGGACACGAACCAAAGGTATAACCTTATTGCGAAGAATTTGATCCTTACGATCTACAATACGACACGGCAGTTCCACATATGTTGCATCTGGCTGCAACTCAATCTCACTTACATCAATATGTTGATAACAATCCTCATCTCGCAAAAATTTCTGTAACATGGAAACATGAAACACATTATGGACACGATTTAAGTTGTCCGGAAGTGCTAATCGATAAGCTACCACTCCAATTCGATCCGTAATCATAAAAGGACCTACAAATCGTTGTGACAACTACCCTTTCTTTCCAAAATGCATTACTCCTTTCATAAGAGACTGATGAGCGTTGAAAAGTGCGTATTTAAACCCCTTAAGCTTAGGTATTCTAGGACCTTTATCTATCTTATTTTACCGTTTTGTATTGATTTCGTATTATTTCAACTTTCAGGTACTTATCCCCAAAATAAGCTAACTCAGCTAAATAAGAGCATAATTGAAGCAATTCTAGGATGAATCAAAGAAATGAGCAAAGTAGAATAAAATGAAGCAAATGGTGGAGTTTCAGCAACTTCGATTGATCTCAAGAAAAGTTCGATCGATCCAACTTTCATCGATCTCAGCACTTCAAGATGAATCTGAGCCATGTTTGTCCCTGTTTAAAGATCTCAAAAGTTCGATTGATCCAACTTCCTTCTCTGATCGATCGAACATTCTTATCCTTATCCAAATAATTAATCTTATCCAGTCGTACCACCCTACCAACCACCTTTGTCCTTTTCCCAAAAATATCTTCAAAATATCTCATATTTGTTTTTATCCAAAAAGGCGCCGCCATTGAGGATCGATCCAGCCTAAGTTCGATAGATCTCAGCCATGTTCGATCGATCCAAGTCCAAGGTTCGATCGATCGAACTTCCTCCAGTGCGAAAAAGTTAACTTTCCAGCTCACAAAAAGTTGTCCTTTATCCAATCATTGGGGAATATTTGCTGTACGACCCCAGCTCATTTTGGGTGTCATTTGACCTATC